AATGGTGGAGTCCGCAGCCATCTCAAGGGCAATGGAACATTCACTCATATTTGAAATATTCCACTGGGAGATTTTTGGCTGGCATTTCACATGCTGATCATTAAAATTGTTGCTGTTGTAAAAGAGGGCATTTCCCTCAATTAAAAATTTTATAATGACCTAATTTGGAGGGAAGAGGATGCATGCACCCGTTTTAAGAAAAACGAAAGGTTAAGGTCGTTTTGGGAACAGTAATACAGAATATCGCTCCAAAGAGACGGTTTAAAGTGCATGAGAATTACAGAATATCACAAAACAAACAAGCAAGCAAAACGAAATTTAAAAAATTGAAGAAGAGATAAAAACATTCTCTAAGGAAAAAAACCGTACTTTTTAGTACGGCAAACTTAATTTATCTTCAGAGTAAATTTTTAAAAATAGAATTAATTGTAGGAAGACCAATTGTGGGTAGAAGTGGAAAAAATGTTCTGATTTAGCAATACCATGGTTTTTATCAGCTAATGAGCTGTTCAGTTCTCATCATCACTTCACTGGGAAATGTGTTAGGTTTGTTAGGCGAAGTCAGATATTGAGTTCCATCTGGGATGTGAACGACAAACAGATTTGGGCTTCGAGAAGGGATTGCTTAGAATGCACACTAAATATCGTTAATTTTAAAGTACTGTTTCTGAATCGGTGTAGAATCTTTGATTTAGAGATAGAACGATATTTTCTTTCAAAACATTGTTGTCAAAGAATCAAGTGACAGACGTGGAACATGAAGTCGTTTTGTTTCATTAACAACGATCGAACGTACACTGTCTCTTTGCATGCACAGTTGTAAATTAATTCTAATAGTGTGGGCAAATTAGAGCTGCTGGGCGGAAATTTTTTATCTGATCGATTCAATTGAGGCAAATTTATTTAGAGCCAAAGTAATATTTAATGTTTGTATGCAATCGGGCAGCAAATAGCGTAAAATCCAGGATATTCTGTTGATTGTCAAACGGAAGCTCTAAGTTTTAAACAAACAACCCAGTATAAGATTGCATCAATGGAATGCCTTTCGCGTCTTCCCCCATTTAAGAGTTATTGTGTTCAGTAAATATTTACTCTTATTTAGACAATTTGTCGGATGCGTTTCTCCTGCGATCGCATATAGAGACAAAAAATCATTTACGATATCTATTCGGAATGGTATATTTACACGCTTTCAAGAAACAAATGTCGAATATGTTGGGATAAAAGTGAACGTCAACAGCCCGCGTAAGTTCACGAAAACCTTGACCCACTGTATTCTACTCTATCTCACAATGTGAAGCTTTCCAAACACATCATTTAATGCAATTCGTGTAATGCCGATCATATACGCTACACGAGCCATCTACGCATTGAGGAGCACAAATACTCTGTGATTCAGTAAACACCTGAAAGAACACCGACAAGGGCTAAGTAATCATCTTTACAAAGAGTTGCCATACGAAGCTAGTTTGAGTCCCTTATTTATTAGATGCGATTTTGTTTATCAGGGAGACGACACCAACCTTGAACACTCAAACAGAATCCATTCCAGCAAAACGTTTCACTCTGATAACTATTCCATTCTTTTGTTCTCCACTTTTCAATGTTATGTTTCACACCTTTTTTTCTTTATCTATATTATCGTGCTCTATTTCTTTCGCACTGAGGCAAAATTAGTTTAGTAAATATTGCTTCGTTTTGCACGAGCGAACAAAGGCCATAGACGTAATTCCGAGAAATTATGCTTCAAGTTCTGTCTTTCCAAGAATAATTTTCCACCACATCCGGTCAGGAGGGGAACTCGTTTCATTAGCTTATCCCAACAGGTGAAATACATTCCCTCTGGCCTGATACATGTAATAGTCGTGAATAATGGCAACTGGAGCACGGTTAGCCTTCTAACTGGCCGAACAGAGCCAGGCTTATGAGCTTGTAACCTATCTCCGACAGATGCGATTAATGAGTTCGTCAGCGAAGTGAGAGAACAATTCCTGTGAGCGAGATCCAAAGCAATGGTAGAGAAAAAATCGTTTTTCCCAAGAGCTTAAAGGCGGGAAAAGAAATAACTGAACTGACTACTGTAAAAAAGGCGACTCTTACATCCACCGAAAAATTTTCTAAAATGAAAATATTTACAAACATATTTCATCGCATCTAACAGAAAATTAAGCAGTTTAAATTGTTTTTATCTGATAAATGCTAAATATGATTTGTTTACACTTTGTGATAGCATTTGCGACAAGTAAGAGTTTAATGTTCCACTGACCCTGTAAGGTGTCTTTTATAGTTCCAACGGGAGAAAATTTTGTTTGCCAAAAACAAGACGGTTTGTGCTATCTGAGAAACCATGGACCGCTTTCTTCGATCCCTTCCCCTATCTAAACACAATAATTTCGGCCCACCCACGTAAAAGCGTTTCAGTTTGTGCTATTTCATAGTGTTTAAAGCTTTGTAAACTTTCAGGATGTCGACTGTTCCATTGATAAATACGCAGTTTTCGACTCGGTCATTCACCGACCTTCGTGTTCACAAAGTTGTCAATCATGTTATTATCGTTTTTGGAACGAAAGTTGTTTTTGTCTTCCAGTCTTTGTCAAACCAAAGAGTTGGCAGAGCTATTTATTTGCATGCGTTTTGACTAAAAAAATATTTTCTATTCAGGCTTGCCGAACATGAGATTATTATAACCAACTCAGCGCTACGCACCTCGATTATTTATTTATGTTCGGCGCACCGTCGTAGAACAATTGTTACGTCGTCCGCGAAATTTGATGCAGTTATCAGGTACCAAAATTTCTGCACAAATCTAAGAGTTTTTTGCCTTAGTAATAATTATTTCGAATTCTTCATGTGGCTTTAAATAGAATAGGAGGTTTTAAAAGAGGTTAGTTCCTGAAGAAACTGTGGCGCTGCGTCGGTGGGGAGTATGACAAGGTAATTTGGTTTTATCAACCGAGTTGATAATGTGAATTGGCCCTTCGTCAGAGAAAAATGACGAAGGGCCAACGCTTTCAACGTCAGCTTATTCTTTACGGTGGCCAATTTTCTTTGTCAACTCATCTGATAAAACCAAATCATCTAGCTCTGTCTTGATTTGCTTCCAAATACCAGCATTCTACTATGCCAAACGAATACTCGGAAGACTATGGTTATTTTTACTTAACCGTATAAAAACATGGTCAAATATTTCCGGAAAATTTGAGTAGCTACTTAAGACCATAAATTTAGTCGGCAATCCTGATATTGGAATAAGAGGCTGGAATAAACTTCCCGCTTTAAGAAATAGCTTATTTTCAGTTCTCTCTTTTTCAATTTTTAAGGCAGAGAGCTATGGCATTAGGAAATGCATAAGCCGATCAGTCTGAGACAGGGTTTAAACCTGATTGAACAAATCGAGTTAGGATGTTGTGCCATATTTACGGAAATGACAGTAGGTGGCTCTCACCGCGGGCCCATATTTATAATGGCGCCCAGAGCAAATATTAGAGTTGGTCCAGCTTTCGGTCGGGCAAGCAAGATTTTAATGAAATAAGCACTGCTAGCTTTTTAATGAATCAACCAGCAGGAAAGAGGCCCTTTTTATAATACAAGAGGGGTATTGAGATTTCGGAGGATTGAAAGAAAAGTAAATAAATCATTTCATTCTTTATAATTTTGTTCCTGGCTTTACCACGATGACAAAGATGTGAAATTTCTCTCTGAACTTCAGCTCTTTTGCAACTTTTTTGCTCTAAAGAATGAATATCGAAACTGTGGTAGATCAGTTCTCTTCTTCAGAAACCCAGTTGAAATTTATGTTAATCGTAGACAAACAAAATAGTGCTGTGTAAGTCGCATGAATCCTAGTTAACCAACGATTTCTTCAAAGAAAGTAGAGAGATATTTAAAAGGAGCATTTTCAACTCTTAAGAAACGCTTTGCGTAGAAAATAAGTTACAGTGGTGACTCGATATGATAACATGTCACTAGTAAGGCCATCATTTCCGTTAGCTGTCCCAGAATGCATTAGGGTGGCCAAATTGCATGTTAACAGACTAAACATTTCATTATAAAAAATATCGAGATTAAAACACAATGTTTCGGCGACGAAATGTCACCATTATCGTTTCCCTTCTTTATAAAATATCACTGAACTTATAATAATTTACATTTGATAATGGTGACATGTCGGCGCCGAAACGTCATACTTTAATCTCGATACTTTTTATTATGAAATGTTTTTTCTAAATATTTTGTCACCAGAACAAACTAAACGAAAGACAAAATAATAATGATCATGATAATCACTAATAACAGTAATAATAATAATGATGACAATGATATTAACAATATTAATAAAAATGATAATGATGTTAAAATAATGAATAAGAAATAAACCAAAAGTTCATTTTTGGTTTTTTAAGGTAACATAGCATGAAGTTGCTGACATTTAAATCGAACTAAAACGTGCAAAAGCTTTGTGTTCTGATCTAAATCGTTGTTCAGAAACTGAAAATCTCCTGAAGACAAACTTATACTCTAACCAATGCATGTTAAGTACACATATTGATAGCAGAGAAGTCGTATTGACTTAAAAATTGGCTCGCCAGTCTGAAGCCATTGATTAGTTTCCAAAAATTTTAACAACCAAGAAACTTGCGTCCAGAAAATCTTTGCCACAATTTAGTAGATAACTGCTAATAGATTTTTACCAAAAATGTGGACTCAAAATAAAATCCATTTATCATTGGAGTGAGGATTACGATAAGGAACATACAACATGGGCACAATCTCTAAAAAGAACACTAAGGGAAGGCTTTATGTTAGCAAGAGCTGGAAATCAGGAGTTTGTTACATCCAAGCTGCAGCTAGAGACAGTGTGATATACTGATACAAGTCTTAGCCTCGAAACGCAGCTTCTGCGCAGCCCAGAGAAATATAAACATGTTTCTGACTTCTGCCTTACAATATTATCTTAAAGGCAAAATGAAACGGGTTCATGACATTTTGACATTACTGGCATTGTTACTATCGTCGTTTCTTTAATTTCATTGTTTATTAACTTACAAGAACCCGGGATATCCTTTAAAAACTACCTCATCGAAACCTCATCGGAAACGATCTTCACAATGTTAGCCATAATAATATTGAATTACATGCTAGGCTGGCCTATATTTTGTATCAGGCAAGTTGATACTTTGATTTGTTTGAGGGCTGCTAACGACAATCTTTTCAAGCCAGCGTTTCTCATAGCCATTAGCTCACCCGCTAAGGAAACCATTTTTACTTTAAGCAAACTTTATGGTTAACGCCCAATATATGATATTTAACAACACAAAAGAGAGAGGAAACCCTACGCGAGACCAATTATCCACTTGCGACACCAACTTCTCGATCTCCTTGTCTGTGTAGGGGCGATACTGCACGAGCCGTTTCTCGGTCATTCTTCTGCCATAAAAGCTAAATTTGTTTCGTCTTCTGGTCTTCGTATGTCCATTTGCCTCCAAATTTCCGTCCATAACGTCAACAAGGTCTTTCTTTTCTGGATCCTGCAAGTTAATGAATTATGATTTTGTTCATCAGAGTCGGGTCGGTTAGGGGATACTAGGGTCAATTTCTGCTGGATATGTCCTGCTGGCCTCTACAGCCCCCACCCCATTATAGTTTATTATGCGGCCAATTATATCAGTCACTCCTGGGAAAATGTAACAACTTTTAAACCCCGAATCTACCCATTCTTAAATTCCTACCTACCAGAATTTTTTTCCCCCAAATCCCGAAAACGCACGACCCCATTTTAGCAAGTCTGTTTAAATTGCTACCCCATTGTAGTCAATCTAGTAGTGAAAATACAGAGTACAGCCAAGCTGTTCTCTATCTACACACTGCAATGTGTTATTATGCGCTCTGATACACGACTGACGCCACAAAATAGGGGCGAGATTTTTCAAGCCCGGAAAGTAAAGGCCTTAACAGACAAACAATCAGACGAAAAAAGGCTAAAACCAGGAAAAGTCAAAACAAGCTAAATAAGCTAAAAAGAAGCTGTTCACGAGAAGGAAAGCGAAAAGAGCTCGTGACGTATTAAATAATATTTTAACACGAACTATAATCCAGCTGTTGTTCATAGTAGAAAACAAATCGAATACATTTTGCTGTATGTTTGTTCAGGTTACAAAAGCCGTCGCAAAGGTGCAAGAACATTACTTACGGACTCGCCTACGATCTATATTTAACTCGGTTACGGCCTACATGTGTGCCAGTCTTTTTTATTCTTACCACATTTTTTATACCCTGTGTAAACAAGCACATGAATGAAATGCAAACTATTAGTTAAGATAGTGTTGCACCTTTCGGATCATGCCAGTATCTTAGCAACATTTTTTTATATCCTGTGTGAACAAGCACACGAATGAAATGAAAACTACTAGTTAAGATAATGGTGCATCTTTCGGATCATGCCAGTATCTTAGCAACTGCGCATCAACCCCTTCCTTAACCCAACATTACCCGAGCTTGTTATAAGTTGACTGTTGTTGGGTTAGGGAAGGGGAAGCTTCACATCTTTCCAAATACGAAATAGCTCACCTTTCCATCGTCTGACTCCGTCTGAACCACTGGAATCTTCATGCCTTTCTTGATTTTTTTGTTTATCTCAAAAGACACACAGGCATATTCCACCAGGGACGCAAACACGTAGAGGAAACACAGAATCAGAAACCATTCAATGGACTTAACGTATGACACTTTAGGGAGAGAGGCACGGGCGCTGTTGGTAAGCGTTGTCATGGTGAGGACTGTTGTAATCCCAAGAGCTATGCGCGCTGAAAAGGACGAAATGAAAATAAGTAAGTACATGCAATCGATCCATGTACGTTGGCTCGCGTCTTTTGTCTCGTAAACCGCCGACAAATAACGATATTCTAAGGGAAGAGGAACGGATAAACCAATGAAAAAAATAAGTGAACCGAATTACAGAGTTGAATTTAAGTTCTGAAAGTGTATAATCTACATGTACTCGGAGAGTTTCTTTTTTTTTTATTTACGACAGCAAAATTTAAATTTCATTTCACATTAGGTCAAAACACGGCGCGCTCGGTGAAGCAAAGATGCTAAGAGTCCCAGCTACTGTTCTCCAGCACTAATATGCTTTTAACCTTTATAATTTTTTGGATGGAAGGAAGGAAGGGTGGAACCTTCGATTCGACAGCATTGTTGTTAGTATTCACTACAAAGCAAAAACAATGATAAGGGAGAATGATAGAATTATGAGGATAATGATGGGATGTAATTTTTTTAAAACTTGAGATTTTATCCACTGACCTGGAGTCGAGTTGTGACTGATCCAGAAGGCGATCCAACTGAGCATAACAATCAGATACGCTGGAATGTAGGTCTGGATCAAGAAAAAGCCGATGCTGCGCTCGAACTGGAACCACACTATAAGTCGGGAATAGGCACCTAAAGATGTAATAAAGTTTAAGTTTAATTCATGGCCAGAACTCTTCCCCTTACAGTGGGGCGGTAGTAACAAAGAAGGAAGGGAGAGGGGAGGGGGCATTTGGCGGTAACGAACCACCTGGTCAGAACCAGGAGAGGGTCATGCTCACAATTAGGATTCTTCCGAAGGAACACCTTTCAAAAGCACTCTCAAAGTTATTTCAGGCTCCAGATATCTGGTTTTCTAAAACAATACTACTTTTATTAGCCGCGTTGCTTGAATTATTTCTTAGAGCATGGATAGGAACTAAATGGGTTCCCCTCATGAATGAGTTTTGCCTTGTAGTATTACTTTTGATTGTTCTACGAATTACAAGACGATGAAATCGTTTAGGAAAAGCTACCTTACATTAAGGCCCACATGATAGTTCAGTTCCCTTACGCACGCGATCCCTAAATCTTTAAGAAAAAAAGGTGTTGCTCTTTGGAAATGATATTGGAACGTGTTTTCTCATTAATCGTACCTGAGGTGAAGTTAGCAGTGGTAGAATTAGTCCAGTAATCCGTGAGAATGAACTGGGGTATTTCTAATTCATTCTGAACAGCAACTTCTTTGTTACCTTTCTCCTTTTTCCATTGAAACAATAGTTCAGTGTTTTCGTAACTGACTATTAATTAGAACACAATACAGATTATAAATATGACTAAGTAGCTGAGGCTTTATTGTTATGTCAGTTGTAAGGGGGCATACCTAGTGTTCAAGCATATTTGCTCGACTTAGTCAACTACCGAAGATTATCTATGGCACTAGCTGGAGAAAATAAGACTAAGTTTACACAGCAAGGAGCGAGGTGACTTAGGGCGACATGGTTAGTAAGTGATGTCACAAGTTATCCAGCGAGTCAGTCACAAAATAGGTGAGAAAATCAAGTTGCCAGGATATTGAAAACGTGTATCGAAATGCTGTGATGAAAGCTCGCTCTGATATGTATGAATAGCAGTAAACTACCGTACCCTAACGAAGACTTGTGATATGGCAATCAAGATGTCGAATTTCAATTGATACGGACCTCATGTCGTAAAACAAACGATGCAGCCTGATTATATTATCATATCCACGATAAATATACAATGTTTTGTACTACAATTAATAACATTACGTACAACTTTCAAACGCCAGCCTGCAAACTTGTTTGTCCAGTGGATAGTTGTGGAGACGCATAGGGCAGGATGCTGTCATCGACAATCTTCAGCGAAGTAATAAAAATATATGTAAGCCACTGTCCAGGGGATAGTCTCTTTGGCATCAAATAAATAATACAGGAATGCTTTAAAGTTTATTTTCTATGTTCTGATTGGCATTAGTAATTTTGTTGATTTGGTGTTACGAAACTTGATATAAAAGACTCTAAAATTCTTCATGGCCAGATAACGCGATTCGCCTTTCTAAAACTAGTTACTTATGTCTATCTGCGCGAATGCATACCTCATGCTATGAAAGACCTCTCCATCTGGCCACAGTCGAACCACTTCGTTTTCCTTGGTGAGATCGTGCTTGATCCCAGATTTCTCATTAACAAAATATATGTCAGGTATCCACATGTGCTGAACCATTTTGGCATTCAAGGCCAGCCTCTTTTTGTATCCCGTGTTATTGTAAGCTAGTCTTTCGTCTTTCCAGTACATTCGCAGGAAGAAGCTCGTTCGAAATTCCTTTTAAGTATAAAGAGCGATATGATAGCATAGAACACTTTTTTCATAACTTAATGAACACATACCTAAGTGAAGAGGATGGAATAATGACATAAATGCTATAAACGCGAGACAAATTAAATATGTAAGATTTGTTTCTTGTTTGAAAAAGAGTCAATTTTGTCTTCGATAACCGGCGATGAAGTTCCTAAGAAACACGATGGTTATGGAAATGAAGAAGGAACTTGATCCAGTAGAGAGCCAAAATATGAAATTGTCAAGTTAAAGAAATAAACTCTTTCTTAAGACCTCATTCCAAAATTTTCTTGAAAGCTGACTTATCATTAAGCTCAAGGTATCTGGTGTTGAATGTTTTTTTAATGTTCTGGTTAAGAACAATTAAATGCCGCTCCAAGGATGTCCGCGCGAAGAATGTTTGGCCTCCATCTTGAGAATGGGAAAAAAGAATCAACATCACCTTCCTCCCAGTCGACGGAAAACTCTTGGGTTGGCCTCTCTCAGAGGATACTGAATACTGAATCCGGGCACAAACTTTGCAATTTACACGTACCGCGTTATGCATTTAGTTTGGCTGTGACATAGTTCTCTCACTTATTTTTTGTGGCTCGTAACTAGAACATAGGAAAAGTTGATGTAAGCCTCACTTCTGACTCACCATGTTTGCCTCACTTATGTATCCAATGTCTAAAACAAACATATCCGTAGAGACTGTGATTGGTTCTCCTACAATTATAATAAAACTGCTTGGTAAACATTCCATAACTAGCACTAAGGGTTTGGTGGAGGAGGGAAAACTGTTTCGAATTGGTGATACATCAATGAATTATTCAGTCTGTAAAAATGATTCTTAAGATTATTTCTGAAAATTTTTTTGAATCCCTTAGTTTGCTTAGAGCTAGCAATTTTCCGCATTGCCCTAAAGATAAGACTTCTAAACAAGAGACTTACTCTCATAATTACATAACGGGCATTTTGATTGAATTTCGTAAAAACAAAATCAAAGTTATCAAAACGGCCAATCAGAACGAAAAATGTCCATAAAAGCCTATAAGAACACGAAGTAAAAACAAGCAAAATACTCAAAGCCTTGAAAGTGCCGTCGACCAATTCGTGAATGGTGTTAGTTTTGCATCTGATTGATTGAGAGAGTGGCATGAGTTTTCAGGAAAAAAACACAGAGAAAGGCAAAGCAAAACCAAATCAATCCCAGATTACTTTCGACGCTCAATTAATGATTGCTCTTAGCTTATCGCGGTTTGTGTTTCATAAAGCGACAAGGAAAGTTTTTATTCCACACATATGGGATAATGTAAAAGGCACAAGCTAATCTCCAAGATTGCATCAAAATAACCCCGGCCAGAATTTGAACCCGAAAATTTCGATGCGGAGTTCTTCAATCATACCGTGGAAACAACACGTCAACCACTACATATGTCAGGCAATTTTGTTTAATGCTCGTACCTGTGAGACGTGTGGCTAGAGAGAGCATGTGTTGCACTCAGGGCCCTTCCGTTTTACGTCGTAATGATGCGACTATAGTCAATAGGTACTTACGGCCTATTTTGGGTCTCAGTCTGTTGTCAGATTTGTTCTGAATCTGATTCAATATCCGTGCCAAGATAATTTCAGCGTCATTAGTTTCCACGCTCTTCGTCGGCTCCGGAGGACTGCAAACGAATTAGAAAAAAAAGGATTAACATCTTTTTACTTACTCGATGCTTTAGAAATGATTTGATCCAACAGTATGTGGAAAGATTTGTCAAATTTGAACCAAGTATATGGTCCATCTCTCTATAGATTTCGCTTTTGCTTAATGGTAGAACCTTTCATAGGGCTAAATGCAAAGGTCTGGGGTTCATTTATTTGAAGAATCAATTTCTTTCCGTGCTCTACACTCTCAAAAAAAAAAAATGAATGAATGAAATATTAATTCCGCTTTATTTTCATACCCGTCTAAACTTATGATTATGTAATGTAGTTAAATTACTTTTCACCTTGCAATGCTGTTGGTGGATATGGTTGCGTTCGCAAACGTCCCATTTCGACGCCCATCCTCACTTGCGCTAGAGAAACCAGCAGCTGAACATGCAATGAAGATTAAAACAAGTTTCCAAAGCTTCGCACGCATTTGCCGTCACAAACTCAGGAACAACCTAAAAAAATTACAATTGCTGTCATTAATGCAAGGCAGCGCTCTTGATTGCCACGCCTAGTGATCTCTCATACGAATGAATACATCAGGCCCTGTTTAACGTTTGACGCTTACCCGCTTAATTCATCTCAAGGATCAAAACAAACGAATCAATACAATCAAAGAGGAACAAAGCTAAACGATCGAAGCGATAGAAAACGATTGTGACTGTATCACGTTGCCCTTCACTAGTCTTCGACCGACGCAGAAACAAATCTCAACTAACGAAAAATAATTAACCAAGCCAAAATATACAATGAAATGCAAAATAAAACCTTACATATGAAACCAAGGAAACACACAATATGAGATATGACCACAATTAAGAATAGCTTTACAAGAAGGCAAAACTTCATGAAACTAAGCAAAAAAGTAAAAGCAGGAATAGAAAAAATTACCTAATATTGTACTTAAAAAGACCTAGCACAGAAAAGCAAGTTCAGATTACTTATAAAACTGTTCACCTTCAGTATAAACATAGACTGAGCGCTGGGACATCGACAACAGCAGTGATAACACAGCTGCTGGCTAGAAATGGCCGCAAGCTACCAGGCTAGGTAATGGTGCTAGCGACCTAATTGAAGCCATCCCCAACACTCCTAAAAGATCAGAATAATATACCCAGATATTTGTTTTGCCTTTCAAGACAGCCTTTGGATTGGCGTTTGAGTGGAGGGATAAGTTTTTGATATTCATAGGTAAAACTGTTGGCTCACTGACTTACAAAGCGATTACAATAGGATAAAAAATTTACAGAGGTCTAGACAGATGTGAATGAGAAATTGATCTTCGCAGTAATGAACACTACTTATTCAAAATAAGACCTGAAAAAAATTCAGGCATGTGCGTGACCTCTGCGATACCAGTATAGTGCTCTACCAACTGAGCTAACTAGCCAACTGGTAGCTAGTCATTATGTTGGTTCCAAATAAACCCGTGAAGTGATGAAAAATAACTGTGATTATATGAAAATCATACGTTTGAACTGCAGATTAGTAAATTGAACATGAAAGCAATCTTCGTAATGGTAAAAACTTCTTAAGCAGTGGTGGTAATAAGGCCTGAAAAAGATTTAGGCCTTTACGGGATTTGAACCCACGACCTCTCCGATACCGGTGCCGCGACAGATGTCATAGACAACGAATAACTGCATAAGTTTTGCTATAAGGGAATAACATAGACATATGGAACACACGTAAACATAAGCCCGGAACTAAAGTATCTGCACCTCCACCCTCATTATGGCGTGATTAAGAGCGAAACAAAACAGTTTAACATTTGTCCATCGATTCTTCATTCTTCCGCTGAACGCGCTCCCCCAGCGGTACCTGTGATCTTTTATTTTTTCAAAGTCGTGACTTGATGACGATTTTTGCTGTTCCTATTTTCTCTTTAATTCGTGGACATTATTCTTATGTTCTCACTGTTGATATTACCTTAAGCCTTCTTCTTGGCTAACTCGACGTAGAATGCCAAGTAAAATTTCAACACCCATGGTTTCATCACAGCCTCAAATGATAGAGGTTTTTACATGTCAGGTTCAGTCTTTGTATTATTACTACAAAATACATCTTTGTTTTTGAACCAGAAAAAACGAAAGAACATTCCAGGCTTACCTATAACATTTAAACGGCTTCCGACACTTCTCTCCGATGGATCATTGTTTAATGATTCTTGTAGTTCGTATATGAAATTTTTTACAAATATGAATGATTCATTTGAAATTGACGAGTTTCATCTCAAAACAAAGGAGTTTTCCGGTAATAGTTTAGTTTTCTTGAAAGTCTTAAGTAATGAAAATATTTTTCAAAAGGTAAAAAATTGAAAAGTCAGTTATATTTTAAAACTCCTATTCGATTTTATTTCATTTTAAGGTTAGGAAACTCTAGGCATAATTTGTATCTTGAAATAACATCTTATACCTTTTCGAAAGCTTTCTTAGCGTTTGGTTTTCTTTGCATGACATACTCGCATCATCGTGTCAAACGCCTGCCTTGATAATTGGATTTTCCTAACCCAGTAGTCCACAATCTATCTGTTAGGCTAACCACAGGCAATGAGTAACTTAGAAAAAGTTGCTCTCTCCAACCAATTGCAATGACCCGTTTTGTGGGAAGCCGATAATATGGAAAATGCCAAATTTGCATTATCTCGAATTTTGTGCCTTTATCATCGGGATTATTCTTTAATTTTTATCGCAAACAAGGCCGAAGACGATGCAAGGAATCGTTAAAGAAAGTAATCGCGAACACTTTTATCACAAAGATTGCCTAGTAATGGTTTGCTGGTGAAAATCACTTCTATTTCTTTCTATTTTTTTAAGAACAACGAAGTCGCCGCGATTGTCAAACTGCATTTAAAACATGATGTTCTAGGGAGATAAACAATGTCAAAAAGGGATTATGAATGACATTGTGAATTAATGGTCAAGGAGAAGCTGTTATTGATACTTACAGTTTCGATTGTAAACAGAACTCTTGGAAGGTAGACTACCAAGCAGCTATATCGTTTTTATACTGCCTGCACTTGAGAAATGTTTAAATGCTGCGCCGGGGATTTTTACAGATGCCGCCGATCCTCTAGATGAAGAAGTCGTTTTAATTGAAAACCGAAAAAAAAAGCGCTTATTTTGTCTTTTACCACTAATCCATGTTTGACAAAGGGGAGACACACCATGCTGCGATATCTCTCTGAGTGGCATTATTTCTTTGTTGATGGCAAAATTTAAAACGGGTGCATTGAGATGAACGGATTTTCTGAGCGTACTCGGAAATTTTTCCAGTAAGATAATTTTTTAAAGCTTTGAAGGATTGTCTCAGAAGAAATCGAACCTCCTACGCCTTTTAAAGTTGCACGCGGTGGCTTTTCACTGATTACACATGTTTATCTAAGAAGTAAAAGATATGGAAGTAACGAATGCGTTTTAGTCATGGACAGATTTAAGATGTGGATCGCCTTTCAGAAGTTGGAATTTGTAAAACCTGTTTTGTGTGTTCTATTGTTTTTGTGACAGGCCAGTAAGAAGGAGGAAAACGTTGATTTATTGTTTTTAGTTTTAAGAGGTTCAAATTTGGTGGCACGTTTTATACCCAGCAGTAAAATATAAACACAATTTTGGCCATGATTTATTTATGACAAACTCGCGTATGAAAACTTAGCTTTGGGAATTCAAAAGGATTACATTGGACGTGCTTCTAAATATAAATACCACATTTTATGCAATCATTGAAATGGTTCAATTTTGGAGTGTTCAATTGGTTCCGTGCATATTCTACTAATTTTAAATGTTGGAAGGAACGCGATTTCGTTTTTTAATAGAGATGCATTAGACAAATTCATTAGTCACTGCAATTTAGACCAGGTAACCGGCACGCAATTTCCATTATCTTGACGCAAGGTAGTCATCCATTTCGAGGACAAAAATACGCTTTTGGCTAAGAAATTGTAAGAGTTTGTTGAATCGCATTTCAAAATTAAATCTGGATGAGGGAAACACTGAATGAAATTTAGAAACTTTGAAACAATTTTCCTGAATTTTTGTTTATGCAGTTATGCTTGCCTAAACAAAAATTTGATTCGAAGGTGATACGTCGTGCGACTTATTATTAGAATTTGATTCATTCCTTACGCAGCCCAGAGTTTTGTTGAAGAAGGCTGTAGCTCACTGATAGTAGATTATGAAGCTACAGTGGTCACCGAAGTTTTCGTACACAACAGGTTCTCGTCGTATTATGCTAGATACCATATCAGCTATGTGTCGATTGAAGATTTTGTAAGGATGAGCCCTATTATTAGAAGACCAAGCTCAGGTGTACAAACTAATACTGAAATATAACACAGACTGAATAAATACCCACCTTCGAATTAAGGTCGAAAGATACGCAATTGTTTTGATTTACTTCTGACTGCGTTACGTTTGTCTAAACATTTCTTTGAAGGCCAAGTCAACTTCAAACGCACTGTATCTCAAATAAACTTCTTAGTGTTCACGGCTTATGTTGAGGAAAATATTTCGCTGAGCGGTGCTTTCACTTTCCCCAATGCAACTCAAGACTTCACAGCAACTTTTGGTGCATCTTAAGTAATTGGAAATCTATTTTTTACACTCCAACCAAAGCAACGAATCATTTTACAGAATTTGCTTGGTTTGCCACAAAGCCTATTTAATGCTTTTAACACACACGGGTGCCCAACCAGCTGATAAGCAGAGAAATTCCTCAGGGTTAACGAGTGTGCGATAGGAAAACAATTTCTCCACACAAAGAACTACTCATTTCCAATTTTTTGTTGTTGAGAATAACCAAGATCAAAAACATTTTCAGATTGAAATGGCTGTTCTCATTCATACCTTCACCCAATATCTTATTATAATAAATGAGAGACATTAGATTTTGAACAGTTTGGAAATGAAATATTTATCCAATTTCCTTTTAAACGGATCTTCTTTGATGATTTTTGATATCTCATACGATTGAATGATTTATGATAAGGTCCACGATAAAACGTGACTTTCATTTGAGGTTAGTTATGTATATGTGGATTATTATCTTGGCTAAGAGATAAAGTCCATAAGAAAAAAAAGTAGAAACCACTAATATTTCTAAACCATGCGACGAGGTGTTACTTTCGGACTTTATACACTTTAAGTTTCATTTTTCAAGGTCTGCTAGTCCTGTTGGAAGAGTAATCTTATTTTGAATTTAGAAAGACCAGAAAAAAAAAATAATTGGCGTGGGGTCAAATGGTGCTGATCGGTTAAATTTATCAACAGCTCGTAGTAAATTATCTTTCAGGGTTGAAATATAATCTCTGATAGATAGGCGTATCCATTTGAAACAAACACCATATTTTATGATAGGGCTTTTCAGACTCCGAGGCAAAATGTACTTATTTATTAATCATATTTGTTTCTTCTTGTGTCTCGCACATATTTTCATGTTTTTTCCTAATTTTGCCTGAGGGAAAAATATTGCTTGTTCACTCATTTAGATCTTTTTTGTCACACATTCATGATATTGAAACTCTGTTCAAGATATTGGTAAAAAAAGGATTCCAATACATTTTAGATCTGTTTTTGAATTTGTGTAATCAGTACAGGGGAGCTTTTGAGACTAAACAACCTAAATCTATTTATATGCCATTTGTTATCCAAGAAGGTTCAAGAAGTCGTTAGGGCATATATTGCTATCTATGCAGAATCATCTTATGTTGTTAGATTATAAATGTTGCATGCTCTTGAAAATTCATCTAGACACTATCCAGTTTCCGAAGTGGTGCATTAAAAAAATAACATTCAAAGTTTTGTTCTTCCATTATATGTTTCTTGTTGCTAATAGCATTTTGTTAAGAGTTAATGTCAACATACACAAGCCTCGTAAGGACGAGACATTCGGCGACTGAGATAAATAACAATTCGAATGAAGCAATTATGGTTTTCACACAATCACCCACCTACTAAAAAAAAAAAAAAAAAAAAAAAAAAATATATATATATATATATATATATATATATATATATATATATATATAATAATAACAATAAAGCAACAAACTGAATGCCACCTATGCGAATACGATCATGCGTCTGTCTACCCAGAAAACATTTGGCCTTCAGTACATGTGAATATTGATCTCTAGACGTATGCGTATTAATCATTATAGAGTTGATTGGAGTGCTTTCCATAAACATGCATATCAGTAAAGGGAAAGCTGTGGAATATTTCCTGTGGTGTGATTTTTCAACTTAATATTGGTTATGAACCCGTCCTCAGCGTGGTGAGTCTAAGTTCACAGCGAAGACCCACAAGATATGTGTAATAACACGTATGTCTACGTCAGTGATCTGAGCCATTCAAAACGTGCAAGAGCTATTTCTCAAATAATAAAATTTCCGCACTGGTGGTGAGGCCTAAGGTTTCTGGTTACAATTGCGCTTTGCGTCATATGATCGTTCAAGGAAATTTCTGTTTGCTTCTGTGTTTCTTACAATCCATGCATGAACACTGACTGAATTATTTATGGAGGTATGAGTGCATGACTGGAAGACTCAGACAAAGCAGATGATATTTGGTTTTTGTTTTTATGTGCAGCCTGAAAGAGAAAGAACTTTCTTAGGTCAACAAACACTAGGAGTCGTCTTTCCTGTCTCTCTATAAGAGGCAATCTTTTGAACTCGTACCGAGCTAAAATGAAATTGCCAAGGCGATCTCCGCCCTAACTGTTTTCAAATTTATCGAACTGTTGTGAGGAAATAGCTTCCGTTTGTTTGTACAAATAACGAACAAGGTCTTCTGAAGACATCTCAGATTAACTACTCCCCTATTTACGAGGAATCACCTATGCGATTGCAACTGACCAAGAAAAAAAGAAAAAAATTATCATTTTCATGAACTCTGGAAAGTGCTGATTATTCGACTTCAGTAATTATATTGCAAACGATAATAATAGTAATAATGATAATAATTAAAAGAAATAATAATTATAGTAACAGTATTGTTGTACTGATTTAATTGGAACACAGTCTACATGAGCTCTTTGCCCATTTGAAGTACAACTGTTCGCCAACCTGTTATTGATTACATAAAGATCTGTCGAAAGATATTGACTACTTTTTTCGCTCACTTTGAGAAAAGGGTAAACAAGGCAAATCCTCTCTAATATTATGTTGAAGTAAGTCACCAGTAAAAGGCGATGAACATCATTGTTCTTAATAAGAAATCTTTGCGTGGCGTCCTAATTGTTATGAAATGATCTGATGTCTTTTGCATCTGATATCTTTTGCACCAAACTCAGTTAACATGGAAAGTGACCACCTTCGCAGTGGTTGCTATATTTCGTTTTGCGACAATGTGCTGATGATAAGGATACAGTTAAGTCGAAAAAGGTGTCCATGATGGGCTTTTGGTTTATACCTCATTAACACCAAAGCCAAAAAACTTTTTAATGTTGCTTTGTTAAAAATAGTCTGAAATTGTTTTCTTCATTTAAGTTGCTTATGTTTGTCGACCTCAAAGTTATTACAATCCTGTGTAAAATTTAGTTGTTCAGTTTTCTATCGCGGTTTTTTATCCTGTTAAACCTGGTTTAACTAACCATGTTTTGTTGGTGTAAATGACACACAAGTTCTAGTCTGGTTCTTGTATTGTTATTACTATGATATGTGTATTTCGATCAAGTCTTCTGATGTTTCTTTCTTAAGTTAATTAAGGATATCCTTAATCTAGCTTGGCGATTATGGTGAGTTTCAATCAGTAATTTTGTAAAAATAAAATTGTGCGGTAATTTCGTGATATTGCTGCGTCGTGTGAAAACTCCTCCTGATTGCGATCGAATGATTCACTTCCGTTGCGACAGAAGTTATTGCTGTATAATTTTGTAATTCATGTTTGAATGTTAAATTACTCAATTATAAATCGAGGTTATTATGATATGGAGATCTAAACATTCTGATGAGAATCTCGCATGTTTTGACTTCTCGTACAAGTTTATAAAAGTTCTATAGGTCGAGTGACAAACTGTGTACCTTCTTCTATGTCGCAATTTGTTTAAGCCGGCCTGTGGATAATGATATTCTGAAATTTTTGATAAAAATATATATTTGTTTGTATGAAGGATTGACCAAGTGTGATATTAATCAATTCGGTGTCAGAAAGGAAAAAAAAATTGGCGATCGATGGTGAAAAAAAAAACGTGAAAGAGAATGATTAAAGATGGCCCGTAACGATCTAACGAACAAAAAATGAATTTTAGAAAAGTATTTGCAAAAAATAGCAGTCTGACTGACATGCTCTTCGACACAAACATCATTTTCCTGAAACGATGAGCTATCCTTCCTAATAATGAAGATTATGGAAAAAAATTATAAAAATTTTTTGTAATCCAATCTCGCTTAATTACATCTTTGGTTGCTTGTAGATCATTTCTCTACGTTGGAAATAGGTTCGTGGGCTCTTGTATTTTAGCCTAATAACCCACTCAAAAGTTATTTATCCAAACGCAACGGATCAGCAAAGTAAACAGTGGATAGCAAAATATAGTGTGGTAAATCTTTGCGAACACTTCTTTACCTTGTATGACAATAACAGTCAAGTTCAATTTCTCTGTTCGCGGAGAGAAATGGCGTCGCTTTCTGTCACAATCTCTCAGCCTTCGATGATTTACCGAGGCTAGACTCGTTGTGATTTATATCTTAACCTCTGAAGGAAGAGCTGAGCAGGTGTCAAACGCTGGAGCGTAACAAACAGATCGCCGCACAGCAAGAGGGTACACAAATCAAGAAAAATATGACACAATCGCGCCATTGGTCGTGGTTCATAATTGCACACACTTCAATGATTATTACTTTTGGCATATGGCGCGGGAGAATGGCGATTTTCATTACTCTTTGAGGAGTGATTTGTGGGGTAAATTTATGCAGCCGCCATTGACTAAATTTTCTCTACTTATTGTGAATCACAATAGTGTTGTTTTGTGCTTTCTTTCATCAACGCAAAAACCGGCATGATAGCTTGACCTACGGACAACATAGACATGTTATTCTCCCTTAAGAGGAAAACACATTGCCATGATGTCGCCTGACTTAGGGTATTGAGAAAATCCTTTATTAAAGTGCCCCCAGAAAAAGAAACGTGAGGTCGAACAGCCACTGTTATAATTTTATTTTCCAGATTACTAGGAAACATGCATTCTGAGCATAGTGCCCAGAAGGGAAAGTTTGCTACCTAATCTTGATCGCAAAGACTGAGTCGTGAGCAAGATATATTACTTAGTGAGTTGTGTTTGCATTAAGAGGGGGCAAGAGACAACAAAATCACACAAATGATCAAGCCACATGCAGGTCAACTGTCCGGTCGAATCAAAGTCTCCCAGTGCAAATGGTAAGATTGTAAACATCTTTTTTCTTTTTCCGATAAAGGAGCTAGCTTTAAACTCAGTCAGCAAAGGTGTAATAAAATGTATTGGAAAAAACCTATAAAAAGTTATGAAATTTAAACAAAAGCAAATGACAAATAACAAAAGCTCAAAAACTAAACTAATTACACTTTTGTAAAATTCCCTGAAAAAACAAGTTTCCACGCCAACCAAAATGTCGAGGTCAAGGTCTGCCAACATGATTGATCAGATTATGTGCATAGCACGTGAATGCAAAAGACGAATACCAAGGGGGAAGGAGAAAAATAGTCAAGTTGCAAGACACAATGGCTTTAAATTAGCTGAAATTGCGAGTATCGAACCATAGAGAGATTTTAAAGCATGGTTGACGCGACTTCTAAAATCTTTTTGATGTCAACAAAGTCTTGATCTCAATTTCGTCCCCAGGAACTCATGGGAGTCTCATTTTCCCGTCAAGAGACCTTGAGAAGGAGGTTGGGTTATCTAGGAATTTAGGAACTGAACAGTGGAAAGGACCTCAAGATTCTCTTAGAACATAATCCTTTGTAGCTTTTTTCGAAAGTTGTGCAATGATTGATTACAAGCCAATTAATCAATTACATACAGGCAGCTAGAGAAAACAGCGGGGGAGATTGATGAAGATAATTATGAATGGATTGACGATTGAATAAATAACTTAACTGTATAAATCTGCGAATCACTGGAATTAATACCATGGTTTCGTGCCTGCATTATCTCTGCTTTGATCCTGGCAATTATTTTTTTTTTACTATCAAAGAGGCATCTTTGTGGTTGAATTATTCCAAAGATAATTTTGAAGTGATACCGGAACGTAATAATTTTCATGGGAAGGTAGTACCTTTCATAATATAGTGGATAGCGCTAAACGCTGATTCTGATTGGCTACTCAAACTTCGCAAATACTTTGCTTTTTACTTCCCTAATGCTCGCGGGACTTGCTCCCGAAAACGTTGTAATTGTCGCATGAATCATTTCTTTGTGCTGTATTATCTCACTGTTTTGGTTAGTAAAGAAACAATTTTTCGGCGGCTCGGTAAATATCCACCACCAGCCACCCCCACTTCGGTGAATAGTTGTTAAATAAATATCGTTCTCGAAGAATCTATAATATTTCAAAATTGAAATATATTTGTAAACTGTTATAAATATCGACACGAGGTAACATTTTTGTCATTTTCACTTACAAAGGGATTTTCCCAGGCACAGGTGTTAGGACACGAAATCAGCCAATCAGAGACTTACTTGATATTGGTCAGCGGTTCCAATGTTGCGATAAACAGTCCTCCCTTCTCGTGAGAAAATCACGATCGTGTAATGAAAATTGCGCTTGTAAATCGGCGAAATGACTCTAGTTTTGCATTGAAGACTAAAAAATTCATCAATATTTCCAGATACTATAGTATTTGGTAGTTTGTTTAGCGGTCATGAAAATAGCTCGTAGGGGTCCGTGTCCTGTTTGGTTGTTATTGTCCAATGGCCGTTAGTAATGAATCAGCGAACAGCGACAAGGCTTCGCCGTCGCTGCTTTTATACGGCAAACAATTGTCTCCAGAATGGAAAGCGATTTCGACAACGGGTCAAAGGATATATTTTGTCAAGTAAGTATTCACATTGACTGATTTTAGAATTCTGTAGTTGGGCAGAACTTTCTGGAAGCGAAAAAATTAACGAGCTATTTCTAAAGAATCTAATCACACGACCAGGTATAATCACATTTTCCGATTTCTTATTTCAATTATATTTACAGCAATACTTAGTTTCGATAAGAATATTATAAGGCGTAGCGAATTTTTTTTTCTCTGAGCGACAGATAGTATACATTTGATCGGTTCCGTTGGGTATTTTTAAGTTTATACGCATGTATTCTTCGCTGATAATTCGTGCTCGAGATTTACATCACTACTTCGCTCCATGTAAATAGATCACTTGTACTCTTAAGTCTTAACTTAAGCGCCTGTGTTTATTGAATAGATACGACCCTTAGATACACCGAAATACTCTTCCATATCGATGTTTGTCCGCTTATTCACATCTACTTCAACACACAGGAGTGAAATTTATTATACATGCGTTGACAACAAATGGTTAATTTTGATTTGATTCCATTTTTACAGTCAGCGCACTCGATCATCGCACTGGTTTCCACCACCAGAATTTTGGACGAGTAAACTTGGCCTTCCCTACGGTTGGGAAGCGGCTCTGGATGACCACGACAGGAAATACTATATAAAGTACGTAACCAAAACGCGAGATGGTTAACTTAAACTTTTGTATCTTTGATTTAAACCACCCCGTTCGCATCATATTTGCGGGGAAACGACAGGTGTATTTATATTTGGGTAAACATTGCGAGACAGAGTTTATTGCATTTGCCGCGTGAACGAATATATAATAGTCTTTGTTATTTTGAACCGGTCTTCGCGTAGCTTTAAATCGCATTAACTTTTGAGCGATATGCAAGTGATTTTATATTGTGTCGCGGTAATTAATCCAATGTAATCTTTAAGGAAAATGCTAACATCGAATTATCTTGCACGAACAGTGGATTGGAACTCTGAGCCAAGTTCGAATCTCCGATCGATGCGATAATACATTAGATTATGTAAACTTCAGACACAGGCGCCAGATTTCATTTAGTTCTGATAAATATTGTTTGATGAGGCTACGAATTGTAAATGTAGTTATATTGCATTACTTTAAAGCGAGACTCATTCATCCGTGGAACACTGCCTCGGTTTCTAATATTAACAGAGACAATTATTGCTTTTGCGGTAAAACCGAAGTGAATTTTACTTGTCTCCTCTCTGTTTTGTTTTTTTTTTTTTGAAGAGGGGGGGAGGGCTAGGGGAATGGAAGCAGTATTATGAAGTGGGCTATACTGGCCTCATGATCAATGGGGAAGGGGAGGGTAGGTAATTATCAGAAATATGATAATGGCTAAAGGTGAATTAAATTGACAGCAATAGCAGGCAGCAGCTTGTACTGCTTAGTAAAAAATCCACAAAAAAAATTTTTTTTTTCAAATTTGATAGCCTCTGACTCTTTTCAGATTATGCAGCTGTAGTAATCATGATAGTAATGGTAGTAAAAATGACAGCAATGAAATGAAATACAAAGGAAAAAAAAAGGAAAGAACAAATTCCATTAAAACATGTGTTTATTGTTCATGGTGGTGTAAGAAAGGAGATGAACTTTGTCCATTTGTCTCATGATAGAGTCACTTTTCAATGTTGATTGCAATGTTTCAACTTATGAGGACCTTTAAGGACTTCTGAGGACCTATGACGGAACACCATCTAACAACAGGAATAATGACGAGCTTGAAATGCAACAATAATAGCATACCAACGTACTACAAATAGCAACATGTAAACAATCAACCTCATCGTTTGGTGAAGACTAGCAGTATTGCAGTCAAAATGTTGCGATCAACATCGAAGAGTGACTCTATAGTGAGAACAACAAAGAAATTTCATCTCCTAACAAAATTTAACAAGTAATTTGTGTTTTTTTATCAGTCATGTGACAAGGGCAACAACTAGAGAAGACCCAAGATCAGAGGCTGATCAGGCAACTCATGTTAAGATGGTGAATATTTCTTCATGCTTAAATTTAATCTAAACACAGTGTAAGACCACTGTGTAATTGCACATGTAAGTGGGGGTGTGTTCATTTTGTTAAATTCAAAGGAGCAAGGATGATTGTCACTAAGGCAAATAACATCAAAATGTCTCATTTTCTATAATTACAATTGAACGTGGGTTGAATTTAAGATCTCCAAATTTTTTGAGTCCAGAGTTGCTCAAGAACATTTTAAAAGCAGGGAACCACAATGATCTTAAAATTAGATTCCTGAAATTTTTGTAAATGTTTGATTTTATGTGATCAAAGACAAGCCCCATGATAATTACAGAATAATTTCACTCAAAACTTGCACCTTAGGTTTAATAATATCATGATGTGTCTTCAAGGGTAAACCTGAAGGGTCTAGGACGCTTATACTATATAATATGCAAGTGCAATTAAATATGTTATTTTGTGTTTTGATCAGACACTGCCTCAAGCTAGGAGAATTGAGCTTGTGAGAGATGCTAAAATAGGTACAATAAACTAATTCATGTTGCTATAACATTATAGTGAGGGATAATTTGCTATCATGTGTGATTTAATTTGATTGTGGGGGGGGGAGGGCAGTCAGAGGAATGTGCAAGTATCGAGTGAATTGAGTGCTTCCTCTGGGGCTGTTTTGTTAAGTTGTTCTTTAAATCTGGTTGGTGATTTTTGACTAGTTAATCCCCTGATTCCTTTCCTGAGTTAAGGCAGGGAGAAGGGAGTGGGGTGGCAGGGGGGTTGGGGTTAAGTTCCCAGGGTAGAAGCTCTTCAAAAAATGTGAGGGGTGCTTGTGGCCCAGAGGTAGGAGGTGCTCATTGATGCACGAGTGTTTTTTCAAGGAGATACAGTATATTGCAGGTAATTTAGTGTTTATGCTCGAAATGTCAGCTTTTTTACCCTTTTTACGTTTTCAACCCAGTTGTTAACACTAAATTACCTGCTATACTCTGATAATTAAGTGATTCAATTTAAATCATTAGTATTTTCTAGTTTGAATACATTATGTGCATTCTGGCCAATATTTTAGAAGTTAGATTAATCTAAAATGATTGTTTTGATATCTACAAGTCTTCTAGAAACAATAGAACAGTACTCAGTTGGGTTATGGCAAGGGATATTTTTGTCAATCGTCAGTAATATTAGTATCAAATATTTGTATTAAAACTAAGAGAAAACAGCCCTCAACCTACCAGTTATATTTGTCATCAAGGATGATTGAATTGTAGTACGTAATACAAGCTATTCACACATTGTAGCTGTTAAAAGTTTGAGTCACAGCAAAGAAACTGTTTTGCTTAACCCTTTAACTCCCAGAAGTGATTAACAAGTAACTTTTCCCTTTGGTATCTAAACATTATCCAGCAAAAAGGTCATGAGAATATTCAAACTTATCAGATTGAAGTTGTTATCTCGATCTGACACCAAACTCTTGTAACTTATTTACAAGGAAATGTTTAGAAGATGGAGGGGAGAATTGACAATCAGATCTTGGGAGTTAAAGGATTAATTGCATGATCGTGAAGAAAGCTATGTCTCTTTCATTCTTCAGGGTTTGGTTTTGTTGCTGGGAGTGAAAAGCCGGTCGTTATACGCTCCGTTATACCAAGTAAGTCATGTTTTCCTTATCGGTATGTAGCCACTTATTTCTTACTCTCGGAAGACTGGGTAGAGAGGCATTGTAAGAGTGAGGTACTTTGTCCAGGAACACACCACAGAGACCCAGTCATTTTTTGTACCGGGCCACTGCGTCTCATCTTTCTGTAGATGCTTAGCCAAGCTAATGCTTTTTAAGGTTCACTTGATAGCCCAAAGACTAAGCAACGCAGATTGGTTAGACACTGCGCGGGTAGCTCCACGGTTGCCAATCTAAAATTATCAAGATTTCACCAAAACCTGTTTAAATGAATCCAGAACTAGAATGGTGCGATAGGTTTTAGTTTTTTTGGCTAAATTGTTCAACAGATCAGAAAATGCGGAGACTGGTAATGAATGCACATATGCATGTTCCATCTCGATGTGAATGGTGCTTGATGGACGCTTGGAGTATCCAATTTTTAACAGAGTGTACTCATATTCTGGTCAAAATATTCTTAAGCACTCTGTTAACCCTTTGAATCGCAATTAACTTCTCCTTACAATAATCAATTGTTAAGGACACACAAATAAAGGAAATGATTACAAACTAGAGAAGTTCTTGATTGTTGAACAAATTCTCTTTGTCAGCACCTTAGGAAGTGTGTAGAGAAAAGTATGGAGAATATGCATACTGATGTTAGGGTATGAAAGGTTAATGCTTTAATGGCTGATTTTGATTTACCATTCTTTCAGATGGCCCATCCCACGACAAGCTTTTTGCCAATGATCAGATTCTGAAGGTGAATGAGAAAGACGTCAGATCCGCTGCTCAAGCTGATGTTATCAGTCTTATAAAGTAAGCTATGCTAGCTTGTTTATGATGAGGAAGTGTTCTCAAACTTTTGTCTCGGAGGTGAAATAAAGTAATAAGAGAAACCACAGTTAAGTGATGGCTCGGTCTATTTGTTAGCTTGTGGTTATGGTTGAACGTTTTCTTTTATCGGGCAAAGCTCTGCACAACAGCAACAAGTTGCCTTGGTCGCCCGAGCATATTTGGGTTTTCACTGAACAGAAGAACTACGAGTATTTCGTAAAGTAGTGCATGTACTCCCACTTGATGCGAGACATGTCTATTTTCCGCCTTTCCCCTGAATAATTCGCAGATTTACCTGACGGTGTGTCAATACTTTATCACAATCCTATTTGGAGAGAGGTGCTGTGAGAGTCGTCTTACTTACGTAATAGTAGAAAATGATGAAGCCAACAGGAGCTCACTCTATAAAGCGTTTGGGCTTTTGTACCAGCGTCTACTTAAATTTCGCCTTTAGGCTCCCGTGTGTCCCGAAAATGAACCCCTTAAATGCGTATTGCAAGCAAACAGGATAAAATTAACAATGTTGGTGTTATTCCAAATTCCCGTTTTTGCACATTTTGCATTAAAAATTATAACATCGGCTGAAGATATAGTTTTACGCTTTAAAACTGAGAGTACTTGTAAGGTTTTGGTGTTTGCATATCTTGTTTGTGCAGAAGTGCGACTGATCGCATTGAAATCGAAGTGGTGGCGAGTGAAGATGTACAGGATACCAAAAACCAGGTTTGTACGAATGAAGTAAAGAGGTAAAGGTAGAGTCTGTACTCGAGCCAAGTTACCCATCCAACTGGACTTTATTCCGGTTTCCGTAGCATGAAGCGATAAGGAGTATTACTACTCTACCTGGGATGAGATACTATTCAATCGCAAGGTTACCCGACTTACTCCCAGGTGTATTTCAACAGGCTTCCTGGCCAATTCACCGGTACCCATTTATACAACTGGGTGGGGGGAGGCTCCGTGAGGGAAGAGTATTTTGCCTAAGAACAGAGCACATTAACGCAGCCAGGTCTGGAGCCCAGACCTTTCGATCCAGAGTCCAGCACACAAACCATTAGGCCACAGTGTACTCGTTATTTCCTAGTGTCTCATCGTCAAAATTGGCCATCAAACCCATGTTTGAAGCTGAAAATGTCCGTGAACTCTATAGTTTGTGATGGAAATTAATTTTTAAACCTGTCTTCTTTAACTGCGCAGTTTATTTTTGTCAAAATTGGCCATCAAACCCATGTTTGAAGCTGAAAATATCCGTGAACTCTATAGTTTGTGATGCAAATTAATTTTTAGATCTGTCTTCTTTAACTGCGCAGGTTGTTTTTTAGCTATTCAAGGTAACGCGAAAGTCTCGAGAATTAATTTATAGCCTTCCTCTACTTCTCAGCACAATCGAAAGTCCTCACTCATGAGTCGAACTACAAGAGAACGCCGTCGGTCAATTCCAGTCTCCGTACGTTTTGCGGATGAGCCCGCGTTGGTGCAGGTCATTGGTCCGATGGAGCCAATTCGAAGGGTGAGTTAAATTCATTTAGTTCAAAAAAATTATTACATTTTTAAATTTTTTCCGTTTCAAATTTCTTTAAATTTTCTTCTAAAATTATTGGCACAGTTACAATAATTTTTTTTCCTGTTTATGCACTTTGTAGGATTTATTGATGGCCTTGTCGACAATTTAGAAGTATTTAGGATGAAAGAGAAAACAAAATCGTTAAGTAACTAGTTACCTAAATTAACATAATTATGCTTCTTTTTCGAAGCGAAAATTAAAGAAGCCGTATGTTTAATTATGTGATCTGTGGTAAAGTATTGTTGTTGGATAAGAGTTTTAGGTTCTGACAATTACTGACAATTTCCTGAGCGATTGAGCCAATTGAGCCTGTAGAAAAAGTGACAGGTCATTGTTCATAGCCTGGGTGACTTGAGTTCATCGTCTCAAGCCCCACAAGTTTCTACTCGTGGTTTCCTTATTTTAGCCTCTTTTTTTTTTTTTGATAGTCTTCAGTGCCACTCATCCCGAATGTGCTGAAAGTCTTCTTAGAAAATGGCCAGACACGTTCCTTCCGTTACGACTCCGATACAACTGTCGAGGTGGGTCTTCACAGCAACTTGAGATAAGTTTTTACAACCTTCATTGGACTTGTAGCAACTTGAGATATATATTTTTTACAATCTCCATTGGACTCGCACAGCTATCTTCAGCTCTTAATGATCTTTAAGTGGAAGTCTACGTTCTTACTTTCTACCTCTCCGGTCTTGCACGTGTAAGTCGGTAATGTTTTTTGTGGAGTTATTGTATCTATGGTATCTCCTATATTCAGATTAGAAATACTCCCTCTCGTTTATGGGTGATCTGTATAGAAAACTCTTCGTCCTCCTAGCACGAAGTGTTATATGATCTTAGTCTTAAAAGGGGAAATTTCAGGCCTCAGTGGTTTTAAAGTTGTTTGTTTGTTCTCATGCAGGAAATATTTAGCTCATTTAGCTCAAAGCTCGATATAAAGTCAATGGAACACTTCAGTTTGATTCTCAGTGGCCCCAAGAAAGGACAAGTTTCGTACATACAAAACTACGAGAAGATCTCAGAGGTAATGAAAATTTTATTGAAGTGAATATTTTGCTTATAATTTCACTGCGTCAACAAGCCACGCGGACCAACTTTTTTCCGTGAAATTCGACAACTCACATAATTTTTAATGAATTTTTTTTTTATATTTGGATCAAGTGCAAATGCATGAACGCGACATATAGCGTCTCATGAAACCTAGAATTTACTTCGTGTTGCAAATTTAATTTTGTTCTCTAACTATTTTCCTTCAACAGATTTATACTAATCGCAACTGCAGCAGTGTCAACTGCATATGCAAGCTTGTCATCGCGTGAGTACAGATTTGTACGTATATTCCATTTTCACTGACAAACCCAACTTTTCATATGCGAGTAATCTATCGAACGGGACGCGTTTTGTATGTTTGGTTTTGCTTAATTTTTTTGTTTTCTAAAGGTACTTTTGTGGATATGCACTTGCATGTAAGTACGTTACCAATGTACCCAGAGGGACAGAGCAGTAAGACTTATCGTGTGTGTAATTTTTTTAACAGATTTGTTCCTAAAGATAACGACGAACTACTGTCAGAAGATCCAAACACCTTCGAATATCTTTATGCCCAGGTGAGCTATTTTGAGTTCAAGGCTTTTAATGATAAAGGAAGGGCAAAGACTTAATTTAATCTCAAAAGAACCTAGGAAAGCATACGACTTTTAATCTCTACCATTTCAATTGCATACGAAGATTTAATACTTTTAGCGTTTTAAGACTACGAAGAGTGAGACTGGTCCCAAAATGTTTCCACTGGGGCCATCTTGCAGGCCTTTGGGGCCGACTATGTAATGATTACCTGTATCGTACCCCTAGGTAAGCAACAGAGTTGTAGAGGGTTTCTACGGCTTGGATCTGAAATACGACATGGCCATAAAACTGGCGGCGCTGCAAATCCAACAGAAAGCAATGGAAGCTGCCGCAGGAAGACCGATGAAAATCTCCGTTCGTCAGGTGGAAAAAGAATTCGGTGGACTTGAGAAGTTCGTCGCGTCAGATTTGTTAAACAACATGAAGGAAAAAGAATTGCGAAAAACTCTTGATCAGCAGATCAAGCAGAACGAGACCCTTGCCTCACCAGGAGAGAGATATATGAGCTCGCTGCAGTGCAAATTGCATTATCTCAACCTCGCGGTTGAAATGTTTTCCTATGGCGGGAGATACTTTGATGCTAAGCTCCTTGATAACGAGAACGATGGACCCAGTCTAAAAAAGGTTTGTTGAAAGCTGTCGTTCAATTCAGGTTAAAAGCTAGAATGGTAATATGTGATAATGCAGTAATAGTTATCCTTTACAGTATGTGTACTATTCTATCGCTCTTGTAGGTACATTAAATGCTCGTAAGAGCGATAGAAACACGGCAACTTTCTGGTGCCTATTCGTCGCATCTGTTGCACGGTTGTATTTTACATTCCACCTCGTGTTGTATGTGTTGTAATAACAATCCCCAGTCTTTCTCAGGATGATTGCGTTTTCGATTTACTCAATAAAACGACGTGAAAGAAGGTCGTAAGATCGTTTAGTGAAAACCAAGATCCTAAAAGGAGAGATTGCTGTGCATGTTTTAGGTTTTGACGTGTTCACAACTTTGCGTTGCAAAGTCAGTGCATAGACAACAAGAGCTTTAATCGATATCAATTTTTTTGTCATTGACTTTGTCGACGCAGGATTTGTAGCTGAGGTAATGCTTTTTGTCGGTTGAAAATAATGTATAAGTTTGGGAGAATTTTTAACATACTTTAATCGATGTTCTCATGCTATTAATTTAAGGCCAAGAAGCAACATATCACCGTTCTGATCAACTTGAAGTATGGAGTAAGTCAAGTCCTCAGAGGAAAAGTAAATGTGGTAGGTAAATCGCCTTTTGTTCTTCCTTTTTTTGTGTGTGTTTATCTTTGTTTTGTTTTGGTTTTTTTTTCTTTTTCCGGCCCCCTTTACTATATTTACTCAAATGAACGATCTAAAGCCTGGATGAAAATCGAAAATCAAAAAACGATATCATCCAATCAGAGCCCTGACAGCCGCCAACCGAGGTATTGGAATCCAAATTTTATTAGTTGCAAATTATGCACTTGAAAATGTAATTGTTTTTGTGATAACTGTCTGATAAAAACACTCAGCGATACTGCACGCCAAAACGTCTAATAAGTTATTTATTATCCAACTGCTCTTCTTTGATTCTGCTGAGTCTTTCTGCTCATTTCTCGTGAGGCGGGAAAAGCAAAGCGGATAGAGAAGCGAAGCGCGTAGCCAACTGGTTTCACAGGCTTCTTTACGGTAAAAAATAACCAACTATCTAAACTACCGTACCGCGATATTGCAGGATATTTGTACTCTAGACACGAGTTATTTGTACTCTACTTTGTGCAGTTGGATAATAAGTAAGAGTGTTCACTGCAAACAACACGGGAATTACGCAAAAGAATTAATAAAGGACTTCCAAGAGATGCGAACAATTTAAGTTTTTTTCTGAGCTTGTTCTGCCTAAGTATGGCCAACATATGTGAATAACTCTCCTTACAATCAACTTGACGACGATCACTAACATCACAACAATAGGTTCATCCGGTTGACGAAATTTCAGGTAAATAGTCGTGTAAAAATAACAAGACTGATCTACATTTACAGTTGTGTCAGCTGGCTGAACTTCAAGAGATAACAGGATTCTCAATTCGCCGTGAAGAAGACAACAAGCGGTTATTACAGATCAAGCTACAAGAGGGAAAGGTAATACTCTTTTTATATTATGCATACATTACATTAATTTGTCCGTCTTTCGTTTTCTGCGCGTATTTGTTGTGCGCGATTGATTCTGCGAGTCTCACTTAAATCAAGGCTTGTAATATTCGTCAAATTGTCCTACTTATTAACTTATTTGAGTAATTACTTTAATCCTTTTCAGAAATTACAACTGATCTGTACCACCTTGGACTGCTTGGATATGATTGCACTAATCACTGGTTACTACAAGGTGTATGTCGACAATACGAGTAACACACCGTTACCAGTAGAGAACGAAGAGACTTGGCCTTTCAGCTTCCGAAAGAGCTCCCCTCGTAAAGATGGTAGGTCTCGGAAAACTCCAGATCTATTTTATGAAATAAAGAAAACAACAAAGAAAATTATGCTAACGAGTAGGCAATCAAATGGTTAAGGCCTGTCTGCACTAGCGGACAAAACTAGAATTGTCTCGACCAAGTCAAGAAACAAATTTTATCAGGACAAACATTTGTCTAGTCTTTTGTATCTGCATTGAAAATTTCAAAGCAGTCAAATTCCGTTAACAGCCGAAAATAACACGTTCGAGCGCCTGATATGTTCTTAGACCAGCTGGCATAGTTCGCTAATGGATTCAAACTCCAATTTACAGGACTCGTCCCAAGTCGTTTCAAAGTTGTAATATCAATTATATCAACGAGTTTCACAACAAAAGATAATTATCAAATTCGTTGGTAGTAGCTTTTACGACAAATGATCGACAAATTATACGCGGTTTTGTTTATTTAGTTGATTACGTCCAGTTTTACCCGGGACGAATTTTGTCGGCGGTGCGACATTTTACCTTAACAATGTAATAGCTTTTGCAGCATTAGTATCAGCATAAGCAGGAGTAGAATCAGTAGCAGTCGACAACGAACGATATCTATTGTCTAGTTAGACTTAATGATGAACTTTATAGACCAGCGTTAAAATTTTGTTGACCTGTGCATTTTTCTAACAAAAAGCGAGCGACTTACAAGTGTAAAGTAAGAGTAAAAAATCTGTACTCGAGCCCAGTGACTCCCCCCCCCATCGATGGATGTGATACTAATGTCCAGTATCTCATCAGGCATCCTTGACAACTCGCCGGTAACCATTTTTACCCCTGAACGGAGAAAGGCACTATGAGAGTATAGTGATTTGCACAAGAACACGACACATCGACCACACCCAGAGTCCAAAGCACTAACCACTAGGCTGCTGCGTCCAGATTTATAAGTGTGGACTGACAGATATCTCAGTTTTTCTTCCGAATTCTTGAGCTGATGTCAAGAAAGGTTCATTTTATGTCAGTGTTGCTAATGAATTTCTTTTTTTTAATTCGATTTAATCTACAGCGCCAGACTACTACTCAAGACATCGAGTTGTCCCTGACGTGTGGTCTTATCCTTCCCGCTTTCAAATCTCAAGTGCCATCAAAAAACCACAACTAGAAAATTCTAAGCCTTTTACTGAGCACAAAGACGTTTTCATTGACTTTTCAAGCGCCCCGCCTAGATATAAAGTTAATGAAACTGCCATTTCAGAAGAATCCGAACCGGAGGACATTATGGTATCGGAGAGTACAAGTCAGCAACAAAACGGTGAAATAGACATTGACCATGGACAAGAATCACCCCAGCACGATGCTTTAAAAACGGAGAGTGTAAATAGTGGTGAAGAAGATCTCGTTGATATACACGAGGATGACAGTGCAGGTCTAGTTCTGTTTGATAAAGATCACGAACTCTTGGAACCAGCTTCTTCTATTTTGAAATGTGCGCCGGATGAGGAAAGTTTTGGTGCTCTAGTAACTGATGCAGGTAGCAAAGCCTTTGAAACCGTTTCAATAGATCGCAGTGATAGTTCCGACAAATTGCATCATAGTCAGATGAATAACTCTACTCACGATGAAAGATTGTTTATAGACGTTGAAGAGGGACATGAGGAGATTTCGTCTGACACTGAGGACGACAAAGCTGATGAAAATGAGCTAGGTCCTTACCTTGAGTCTAGTGAGCGCAGTCTTTGTCACACAGACATTAACCAAAACGTTCTTTGTGATTACTCCTCTACAAAAATTCCCTCGCTAGCAAACGACAGTAACATTGCAAGGTCTGCTTTTTCAGAGCCCGACCCTTCTATTGCTACAGATCCTCTACGTGACCGAAGGCAATCACCTTCAAAGGCCTTGGACTTCGACGAAAGTAAGTTCGACAATACAGGAATTGATGTGGTAGATTTCCATGACAAAAAAACCTATCAGGAGTCTGTTGAGCAAGGAAGTGCATTATCTTTACGACGGAAGGACTTGGGTAGTGATGAAAATGAACGTGGCGACGGTTACGAGAGGGAAGTACAATCTATAGAAAGCGTTCAGAGACTTGACGAGCTAGAATTGAAGACTGGTTTAAGTTTGAATAGCTACGAATTCGCAGCTGGTAACGAAGACGATCTATTGGATAGCATAGACAGTCATCATATCAGTTTGGATTTTTCTGAGGAAAGCGAGGCAGAAACAGTTTCAACAACGTCAGATGACGGTGAATCTCTGTGGTCCTTATTTCCACAATACTTTCGGCCGAGTGGTCACTTGATGCACCCGAGTAATAATAGTGTGGATTTCTCTTTGGCTGAAGAAGATCAGTATGAAGACGGTGAAAATTCTGAAACCGAACGAGGAGTAGCACTGCTGAGCGTCAAGGTGCTAAGTGCGAGAGATGAGAGTTCTCCGAACATCGGTTCAAGGGATAATGAAACTATCTTTCTCGATAACTGCGACGAATTGTCAACAGCCTCTTCTGAGAGTCTCGAAGAAACCTATGAATTAAATGCCGAAATACACTCCGAAAGCGAAGAAGTTAGTGAGGACAGCGGTTATGTCAATTCCAAAGAGAACGGTAAGAGTAGCCGGGGAGAAATTCATAACAAAGTTGAGGAAACTTCGTCTTCTTCTCCAAATGATGCATTGTTGGTTGCTGAGACGAGGTATACGTTGGATTGCGACCAATACACTGAAGAACAATTTCTTGAGAATTTCAAGTCCACCGAAATGTTAAAAGGAAGCGAAGTTCCCAGCCACTTAAGTGATGCGTTGGTTAAACATACTATTGTGGGAAATGCAGAAATTCTCTCGAACGAAAGTTTCTCACCTAAGAACTTGGACGATAGGGGAACTTTTGTAGATAGGAGCTACTCTCCTTCCGACTGGATAATTCCATCCCCACCCACTCCAACGCCTGAGCTCCAGGATACTGATATTCCCATTGTTTCACCCCCTCCTCTTTCCACAACGCCAGACGGAAGTCGACTAGATGAGGAGCTGATGTGCTTAATTGTCCCTCTCCCTCCCACTTCGGTCGATATTTTGCCGAATATTTCGGGAATCAAGATTGTGTCTCCCCCACCTTTGGACTTTAGTGACAGCGAGTTGGAGCGTTTGATGGATGATTATGATGACGTAAAATTTCTTTCTCTAACTGATGACCACAAACTCGCCAAGACCAACGGTTTGGTGTCAATTGAAAACTACGATACTAATTTCACTGAGGACAAGAAGCTTCAGGTAAAAAAGGTCGCAGCTGATCTTCCAATGACTCAGAAAGAATCACCCGCCCTTTTGAGCAGAGAGGAAAGTATTTATAGTCCGGCAGAAAACCTTTCCAAATCAAATCAATCTCGCGCCAAGAACTTTCCTTCAACTTTCACGTCTCATATATTCGAGTCACATGTTTCACCTGATCCGCCCTCTGCCTGTGTCCCGTCGACCTTCCTTGATTTGAATACCGGATTAAAATGTGATAAAGATAGTCAAAAGCAGGACGATGTTCTCAACAAGGGCATCGTGAAAGGTTCGGAAAGTCTTGACATTTCCATGAGAAATGATAAAAGCATAAAAACGGAACTTGGGGCGAGCCCCGCTCCCGATCAAAGTACTCAGAAAATTATCGAGCAATGCAGAAGATTTCCCTCAAAGCAAAAGCCTCCGGTTCCTCCTAAACCTCGAATCTTCCGGTCCTGGTCAGTTTCGGGTGAAAAAACAGTCAGTTTACCCGAAAATCCAACTGACGGGAAAGCTACGTGCAAGTTACCAACCACTGGCGCTCGGTATCCAGGAAATGGACTTTTGGGATCCATAGCCAATTTATCTCCAGTTAAGAGTTCTAACATGCCAGAGGTAACGTCTACGAAAAACACTGATCATTCTTTACGCCAAGTGCTTCCGAGTTGTAACCAAACAATCATGGTGCATTCGCAACAGAAATCTTCTCCTCTAACATCAATCGGTCAAAAAGACGATCCAACCGGGACTGAGATCAACCTCCGGCGTGAAAAGCTTATTTCGAAGAAGAGTTTGTCATTTACTTTCACATCGCCATACGTGCCTGCACCGTACTCAACGTCACGGATGCAAAATTTAACTTTGACAACGTCTCCAACGGAGAGGCTGCATGGACTGACACGTTGCAAAGACAACAACAACTTTTGTGCGGGAAATTCTTCTGGAGCATCAGAAGGAAACTGTGTAAATGCAGTACACTTTCATGGGCCGATTGTGAAGCCAGCATCGCCTCTACACAAATCTTGTAGAAATTCAAGACACCCTAGCAGAAATCTATCTGGAGATGACCCAGAAAGCACATTCTTAAAGCAAAGAAACGAAAGCTCAGACCAGCACCAAGTAGACCCTGAGCATCATGAAGAAAAGTGCAACAGTACGTTCAGCCCATCTCCTCTCCCTGATAGTCCCCCACCACCATTACCGAAGTCTTCTCCCCCTGCCACAATTCCCTCGTTCGATCTCGAAGATTTTGACAATGGCGAACCCTTAATCGAGACATTTTGCGATGACGCTCTGAACTATAGCGTTGAATCAAACACCAGTCCGGATCTTACATCTCTCAATAAAGACTTGAAATTTAAGCTCTCTTCCGACTCAGTAGAAAAATCAAGGTCAGGCTACTTTGAGCGACGAGATGGTGATAGTGCGTTATCTGCATCTTTAACTTCATCTTCACTTTGTCGAGAACGACGTTCCCTGAGTGAAGATTGGTCTGCTCACAGTAATTCTTTCTTTTTAAACGGTCGAACGAAACGACGCAGCGTTGCTTTCGAGGAGAGTTCTCAATTGGATGACGATGTGGCCAAAGATTCCTCTCACAAATTGGAAGAATTTCAAATAAAAGCTTTTCGAGCGAAGAGTTACCATGTTTGCGAGGAAGGCCTCTCGAAGGTGAACTTTTTAATGAATAGGTTGGAGTTGTGTTTGAACAAAACTGCATTGAATGCACAAACGAACGGCGAAAACAGAAACTGGCTGTTGAACTTTCAAAATAATGCGAGATTCTTAGCATGCGATGTCAAGGTTATTTCATCGAGTATCAAACGTGGAAGCCCTCAAGTAGTGTCAGCCGTTAAAACATCTTTAGATTCTCTTGAAAAGGTGGTTGAGTCATGTGAGAATACTTACTCGATGCTAAACGATACATGCGATCGGAATGGCCGCCATATCGTTGCCATGGTCAAAGAAGTGGTGGAACAATACCGTGACATTTTGTGCACTGTCAAAGCTACCTCATTTCAACAACCCGATAACCCGGATGTAGAAGTTCTGGTCATAAAGACCAATGCTCTTACAACATTGATTGATTCAGTGATTCGAGCTCTGAGAAGGCATTAGTTCCAGGTTAATCAGTTTTTTAGGGCATCAAACATAATAAGGAGAAATTCCTTCTTTTACATAATAATTTTTATGAAATGGATTCGCCGTAATTGTATGAATAGCGGTGATAAAACGATTCCAGTGTCGATGTGCATGGCGATACTCTGTTACCAGACAACGCCATCGGTTGATAAGCATGATAATGCCGTTATACCAAGAAACGTTATCTTGTTTGGGCTGGTATTAAAGAGGGTAGGGTATGACGTTTATGGCGCATGGTAAAAAGCAAAGAATTCAGTACCCGCCGTCAGCTTTCAGCCGCTTTTATACGAAAGTTAAGCTACTTGTGTTAACTGTGAACACGAGATTTTATTTTTCTATGAATTCAATGCACAGATTTTAGCTAAGTAGTATGAGGGTACATTTATGCCGTTCGCCGTTACCGCAACGCCCATGCTTAAACTCGTCAACTCATTGAGTTGCAGCGAAACCCTTTTCAACAAAGCTGTATAGACTTTAATTTGAAGTTTTTTAGTGGTCTTTTTTTATTTATTATGAATTTTTTTCGATTGAAATAGACGCCCGAAACCGGTCTGTATATAATATGCATTTAAATGAAGGAATGAAAATGTATAAAGAATGAATTGATTCGATTGAAGCACAAGCTTGTGTTAGAGAAAAAAAACGTTTCCTGTTACTTTCGTAAAATCTTTGGATCCTACCTGAGCAATTGCCCTACCCCTCACATGACACAGCATTAACTCTAACTTGTATCAGCTGATTGTTGTTGGGCTAGAGGAAGCTAGGCACGCAGTTGCTCAGTTACTGACAATGATCCAAGACTTTCTGGAATAGTAGCCTGCGCTGCTGGTGGTCTGCGGTTTTGGAGGCAGAGAGAAAATAAATTCATTTGTCTCTTTGTTTCCAAAATCGCAGACCGCCAGCAATGCAGGCCATGCTATTGTGGTAAATTTGTTTTCTTCGGTAGAAGGACCCGGATCGGAACCGATCTACGAAGTGATTTAAGACAATGATCCCTTTTTACGCGATTGTGAGGGACGGCTATTTTAAGACATTTGGAATCGAGCGACTACCGTCAATTATGCCAGTTTCGTTGTTAGACGATGCCTCTTTGATTAGACTATCCCTCTTTAATTTTCATCCAATAGTGTTTATACTCGATACTAAACGAGAGGAAACTGCCGTTTCCAGTAGAAGCTTTATCAGAATCTTTATTCAGTCCTGGATATGGATCAGGAAAAGCAATATTTTGCTTCACCCGTCTGTTGACTTCCACGAACATCATAACCAAGTAATGAAAATGATTACTCGAGTACTGGATAAGCTTAAAGGAAAGTTTCCTTTGAAAAAGAGCTCAGCTAATGAAAATGCTGAGATTATTTCATCCTGACATATTCTAACGCGACCACTTTTCAGTGGCAATCAATCGCTTCTCCGTCCTCTTCAGCCTAGATTTTTATTTCAAATCTATTCAGTTTCATAAATGCCTTAGGATACTACCCTCTGGCGAAAGCTGTTTCATCGAAAAATTCTAGCCTGAGCTCGACCATACGATGGAAAGGCAACGAAGAATATCGAACAATAGTGCTGTTGTCTTAAAAAATTGAACCATACCAAAAGGCAAATATATGGTGGAGCTTTCCTTTTCACAAACCAGTCACTAAGCTCGTATCATCTTTATTTGCATTATTAATAGTATTCTTTAGTTCACAGAGTCGGTTGGGACGGTTACTTTCAGATACGTTCAGTTACTTTCTTAGTTACTAATAATGACCTTGAGACTGTCTAAACAAACATTTATTGTCATATATAAATGATAGGAATCTATCTGCATTGGATCTTCTGAATATCATGTAGTTTACAAGGTTATGTTTACAGCAAGTTTTGTTTCAATAGATAAATCCAGCTTTGCATGGACCACCAATGTCTTACCTAATGCGCCTCCAGGTCGACATGGTCGCCCATCGCTTCCAACTTGTAGATGTCCTCAAAGTAGCCCTTGTCTGTCCCATCTGGCCCATTATCGTCACAGTTATGATTCGCATTCTCATCTAAAATCTCATTTTCTTTGTCATCGTCGCAGTCCTTAGCGAGAATGTCATCATTTTCTTGGTGGTCTTCGATATTGTTATTGTTATTCATGACACAGAGCCTAACGGGTCGCCCATTCAATGGACAAAGGGGTCTGCAGTGACCAGCCATAAGTTCCCCACAACTGTTGCGAACATTACGAAACGCACTTAGCTGTCAGGAGCGACAAAAAAGATTAATTTTGCCTTTCCTTTAAACGTCTCTATGCTGGGCGGTTAATTAACAAGGTATCAAAAAATTCGTCATAACTTTATTTCGGTAGCAAACCCTATTGTGATAGCGGATACATTTTAGCAAGCTCATTGCATTGCCTTTATATCTGGCTGTAGACTGTCAAGTTCTTTTGTAGATTGGGTCCGTATCTGTTTCTTTTGCTCATTAGTTTGTTTGATCAAAACGTTTTACACCGGAATGTTTTGTTTACTCTGAGTAAAACAACTGACCCAAGCCCCGCGGCTCCATTTTTGTTTGAATGCTCATGCCAAGGCATTATTACTAGACCAAAGAACTTCCTGCCAATGAAATGGCATTAGATTGGATCACTATGAAAAACATCTTTAGAATGCTTTATTGAGCATTATCACCTGCTATTTTTTCACGACGTCCGTTCAGTGTCATGATAAATGAAATAAAAGCTCAGATAGAAAGCAATAAACTGACCTGTTTCTCGGATATTTTCATGATACTTTCTGATATTATCCATGTGACATTCTCACTCATTGGAGGAGTCGTGAGCGAGCCTTGATATGTCCAGTATGATGTCATATCTATCGGGAAGATAACCAGTGTGAAATCTGGTTGTAATGATCATTTTGGTATTCTAGAAATCGCTGATTGTAAAATCGATCAAAACAATCCTATTCAGTCACAACATTATGCCATCCCATAAAGTACATTGTGGAACGGGTTTAACTGTGTTTTTCCACTTTCAGTTAGAAGTAGAGATAATCTCTTGCCATAAATAACCAGCGACCTTTCGAGTTGCCCTTTTTTAGGTTGTTTCCGGTACACCTAATGACTCCAATTAAAACTAGCAGCAAACTTTGAAAAAGTAATATATGAATCATTTTAATGTATAGTTTATAGTAAAAATGAAATCAGTGAAGGATTAAAACTCTGATTTCTCATGAAGCTGCTAAGTATGACTCAGTTGACATAAAGATTTCATTTTGAAACTTGAGCAAACCTTTTATAAAGCAAGTTGGATCGATGGTAGATTTCACCTCCAATGAAAAGCAGCCCTGTAAATACAACAATATCGATGTGTGAGTTGTTAACAGGCAGAACAATGGACGATGAAACGATTCTTTGGCGAAGAACGCCAAGATGGGAGACCGAATGGTCCTCACTACCATTCCATTAAAAATCGAATACAAATCATGTTACCTTATTTTCCTCTCTAGAGAGCAATTTTATAACTGGCAGTAAGCCCTCATTGTCATCATCTGACACCTGCCATGGAATAATACCACATAGGGTTAACTCACATCACTTCGTGCATCCTATATTTGCGCTTATAGCAAAGGATCAAGTCGTGTTTGTGATATTGATTGATTAAGGTTTTTGATAATGACAGACAAACTGAAAGGTGGACTTACACACAAAAGAACGGTAAGGTGATAGAACACAATTAGCATTAATTAGCATACGTACGAAACGGGAGACAGAGGAACAATGTGCACCCTCAACCAGAAGCTGATTGCAAGTTGGCGCAAGGTCTTTTGTCTCAAGCAGACTTGGATCGCACCTCAAATCTAACACTCGTCTCAACAAATCATAACCTTACCTGGTACAGAAGTCCTATGATACATAAGCCATTTTCTCCTCCCATAGCTTCACCAATATTTTTGTACAGCTTTTTGTTCCAATGGATGAGCTGAACCTGTTCACAATAGAGTGCCACGAAAGAGATGTTGTTAGTCCTGCCAGGTGGTAGACAAAGAAAAAACTGCGTCTCCCGGGAATAAATGAAGCTCAGACCTTCGGATTTCCTCGCACCGATGCTCTTTCACCGAGCCACAGTTTAGAAGAAAGAAAATATGGCGACTGGTGTAATTCTTATAAGTCTGCAAAACTATGACTTATCCTACCACCAAAACAAAAAGGGTCGGAGGCAAATAGTCAAATGAGGAGACAGCGGAGTCCGGTAGATATAGATACCTCTTAAAATCAAGTGCAAGTCCACAGAGAAAAAAAAAACGGCAGACGAAATGGAAAGCGAGGTAAATTTAAAAAACCCTTTCTCAGAATAATCAACACTAAGTAGAGATGCATCCTCTTTAATAGTGAAGTGTATTACCTCCAATGGATAATTTTGATCATTGATTGCGTGTTCCGATCCGGAGTTGTTGTCATGACCCCAGCGGAAGCGTATGATAGCCAATTGGTATGTGTCTGTCAATGGGCCTCCTGTTATAACTAAAGAAAGAGGGAAAAATGCTTCAACTTCCTCAAAACGTTACAGTAGCATACCTGCTGCAAAATTAGTCACAACACTCGTATGGTACACCTTCAAAGTCTGACTGTGGTGGGAGAAGCTTTGGTATAGCGCGCATAGTTTGTGGCTGGGTCTTTTCCACCGGAAAAAAAAATTTATCATCTCGATAAAACTTTTTAAAGCAGGCTCACTGACTCTCGAGAAACTTTTACGAGAGAAAAATGAAGCAGACGAAGTATCCTAATATATGGAATAACGCAGCGGTTTTTCAATATTCAAGTTGTGGCTTTCCATCCAACAAATTTCTTCGTCAAGATCTAACGGCTCGGTTGGCTTTGTAAAGGAAAAAAAAATTTTTGATACAAGAGGAAAAAAAGTTAAGATGTTAACTTTCCTAACATACAACATTCAAGGTTGGAATCCAGACAATGTTAACACTGCCCCTCGAACTGTACCATTTACCTTTGCTTTAAGCTGCATAATTGTTTTGACTATTATTGATATCAGGGTGTTCTAACACAGTGGCAAATATAATGTTGATAATATGTAAAGGGCGGCCATCATGTGCCATGGTGGGGTAATACTGAGGAAACTCATTTCCGATTTGATATTGAATGCTATTGGTGCGAATCACACAGGGAGACGTCTTCAATAGCTTCATATTTTTCTTAGATTGCCAGATTGAAGTAAATTTATCTCTTTTCAATAACACCCTCGTAAATGTTTCAATTTGAACTTGTAAAGAAGTCGGCATAAAAAACATTATTTCACACTTCAATTTTCTCATTTCCGAAAGATAGCAATTTTTAGGTTTTGAAACAGAGGCAGGCGTTGATTAGAGCAAAAGCAATTTTCAGGAGGAATTAAACGAACCAGAATTGCTTTATTTTTTCACAATATTTCATGAGAGGAGTTCTCGAATTTTCTCAGTGGAAACCGAGGTTACTTACGTGGTTCCTTGCTGTTATGTTTCCAATGTCAAAGCTGTTCAAAGGAAACTAGATCCTACGCATGCGCCCGTCAGATCACAATTAATCAACTCAATTAAGAGGGAGAGAGTTATTTATATTTTAAACGAACTTGATTTTTTGATTCACCGATTTAAAACTATATTTCAGTAAATTTTCTGAGCTTCTTAACTAAGAAATAAGTCTAACCACTGACGCGTAGTAATAGCAATACAATCCTGGTCGTTTATGATTCAAAGAAACTTATTCAGTCCTATATATATATATATATATAAAATGTACCATAAGAAAAATTAAATTAAATGATAATGCATAAATAATTTTACTTATAATCAACATCATGCATACGGAATATATATCGGATTTGTTCTAGTTCTTCATTAAATCTAATGTGTATTACTTCTCGAAGAATTACAGTGTTCTACTCAAAGCACTTTCATTCCTCTCGGAAAATGAGGGGGCAAGTTTTCAAGTGAACGGCTCAATTTGACATTACTGATGTTGAAGCTGTGTGATTGCCACAATAAGTTTATTCATTACTACAGGATAGAATAGACTTGGACTGACCTCGGGAAACATAACTTCTTGCAGGTCGCGTAAAAGAAATACAAAAATTATAGTGCCAAAATGAAAATAATAACGGCTATAAATAAACACTTAGATTTAGTTCAGTTCTCGTATATACATATATATATGTTTTGTGCACTCCTCTGAGAACATGCAATTACGCAAATTAGTCGCAAACGGCGAATGTAATTCAATGTTTTCAATATGCCATGACAATATTTCAATATTAATCCTGTGGGCTGGTGTTCTTCTAATTTGGAGTAAGTTTTATATTTGCATATCAGCTCAAGGCTACGATAAGATGGATTTAAAATTTACCTGAATCATTTCTTGATAATGTGATTTGCAAATGTCGTCCATCATTAGTAATGGTGCTGTTCTTCATGGGCAAGTAATTGAACTTAATCGCTTCCACGATGGTGTCTCCTTTCGCTGCTTCGGTGTCGATGTTAATCGGAGACTGCAAATTACCTTCGGCGACTTTGTAGCGATCCTGCCAAGTGTGAGGACCTGAAATAGCGCATTATTCCTTATGGATTAATATTTGATTGTTTAGGCCACAGACCGAAGTTAGGTGTCTTCCTTTACGAATTTATGTTCATACATATGCAAATTGAAAAAGAGAAAGATTTTAAAGGTGTTTTGGAAAAATATTTTCCTGCTGAGTAAAAAAATAAGAGTCGCAGGAAAACATGATTTAGAAAGCGTAATGAGGGCTCTCCCGATGTGGAAGAAAACATCTGACGTCGCCATTAATAGTTTCCTCGTCAACTCTATAAATATTCGAGAGCATGTATTTTTTTAACGACACGCGTTCAATTCGAAATAGCATTCTGTTATCGAACATAAATGCTATAGCTCTATTTTTTTTAGTATGTGATATAAACTAGCGGTGTTTCTTAGTTGAAGTGTGTTCAAACCAGCTTTGAATAGTGTTATATTGATAAAATACAGCGACACCCCTTACTGAGAGCTTCGACTGGACTTTCAACCGCATATTTAACTTCGGTGTAAAACCATAACAAAACCCAACTTAAACCTTCTTCGATTTAGCAAAGGATGTGATGAACGAAAATCGATTTCGAGATGTTCTAGCGTTTCAAAGTTACATCTTAACATCCTATTTGCCCCTTTGTTTGTTTTGAAATTAGTTTGGACGTAAAAGAATGTAAAGACTTTCTTCTTTCCAAAATTGATTCTTCAAGAAAGGAACTTCAGATGTAAATTTCAGCTTTAAAAGGACGAAAATAGATTTAGCGATGACTAGGGGAGATACCCAAGAAATTCATGCTCACAACAGAAGTGATACGATTTTGATTCGGAAGGAAATATCGGTCAGTTCCCCTTGGATTAACAGTGAATTCACGAAAGCAGGTCGTGTTTAATCGCTAGCTTATGATACATGGATAAAATTCTTAACAATACATAAAAATTCAAAGAAAAATCGACGGTTACAAGCCAGGTTTAATTATTTTGAATTACTTACCGAATTCATTATCAGTGTAACTCCAAGAGGATGTATGAGACATTTTTTATCGTTATACTTTAGAATGTACCCCGTTGAAGCTTCATTTAAAAAGAAAGAGCGAACCTTTTTCTCTTACGCGATTCAAATTGCGTTTTTCCGGCCGTATGACTGCGACAACTGCTCTGCGCCGTTCTGAATTAATGATGATCTAAGTTTAGCAGTACGGTTGAAAATATTCTCGTGAGATGTGACCAATCTGTCCAATAGCCAACGCACTTTGCTTCTGAATTCTTGTAAACAATACTCAAGAGGGCATTATGAATTTAACATAGTTTGTGTCCAGTGGTTTTCCAAATGGTCAGATGAGTACCAAAGTTATTATCCTTACAAATGCAAATAGGCTTAACGAATGTAGAGAAATGTCCGTGTAGCGAGAGGAAACAAAACAATCGCGCCGACACATATTTCTATTGCTCAATCTTATCAAAATAAAAGCTTTCAGCTGACAAATGGAATACATCAAGTGGAATATTTATGAGAACAGTCCACTTGAGGCACTTCAATATGAGCACTTCAACGGCTTTTAAAAGTGTGATTGTGAACTGCAACGCCAGACAGAATAGTAATTATCACGGTTTTATCTTCTATTTGTCGCGTATAAGTAAAAAACCGCATGCACCAGGCATCAGGAATCTAAGAGCGAGTGAATACGCTCGGCTAACAATTAATGGTTTCTCTTAAGTAGAAAAAAGAAATAAATTACAATATCTATCTTCAAATATGATTTAGGCGGCGTAGGCGAGTTAACCGATTTTGACAAAATTGCTTGAATGATAATGAACAATTTTTTTTCGTTATTAAAATCTACCTTTGAAATTGCGATGTAAAAGTAAGCCTGGTAAAGCTTTTGTCAAAAAAACTAAAAATTCCATTGCGAATTAGATAAATTCTCCTAATTGAACCGATGGAAAAAAAGCTAAATGGAATTTAAAATTAAAATGTAGTTTTTACCATTAGACTGTTTCATGGAGTAAGTATGCTTCTATTTTACCAATTTCTGAACTGTGGATATACATCAAAAGCTAGGTACAGTTGATTAAAATCACTCTGCGGTTGAATTCATAGCAGAGTTGGAAAGGGGAGGAGAATGGGCGGAGGAGGTCATGATGTAAAACGCCTCACCTAGTAAGGTGTCACTCTCAACAATACGGGGAAAAAGAGTAATTATTTTTGACGGGTTTTCAGCTACGCACTTTCCGCTCACTTGTGGCGCACTCTCGTTTACATTTTTGCGCATATCAATATTATAAATATTTATAAAGAAATAGATTGATATTGTATAAATAAATGTTAAATTTGCACTCGTTCGCCAAAATAACTACTATTCTTTTATATGTTTTCTGAATAGCTAAGCTTTGGTTAGGTTCATTTTTAAAAGCTTCAATTTTTTTTTATTTCACTATTCGCGTTCAAACTTCTGCTTGTTTAACATTGCTCAGTCCTCAGTATCCACCGTTTCTCATTGTTTATTTTCGACTCGTACAACATTTCATAAGTGTCTCTTCCTTTTCATATTCTACTCCCTTTGTTTTCATGGCTTTGACCGCAGGTCTGACAGATAATCAGGGTTCAATTATTTCTTTCAGCGCATTATGCTTTTAGTTTGAGAAAACACTGACTTTTTTGTGTTAATTTGGACAAAAACGAGCGTTTCTTTGAAAACGGGTGAGACTACAGTTTTGAGTATTTCCTGCCTTGTAAGGTGCCTTTGCTGCTGTTTTTAGTTTAATATCGTCTGCATGAACGCGATAACAAAATAAAAGAGAAGTAACCAAAAAAAGGTAAACATGCTGTCTACAAAAAGAAAGCTTTCTATACTTTAACAAGGACGAAGTTTATTGCCTCATATTTTATAACACATATGTTCAAGACAAGCTCTCCTTATATATCAGTCAGTTGCGGGCAGCACCTGGATTATTGCCTCCTTGGATTATCAATCAAAACTGCTCTTAAACGTTAACCTGAGGCCTTGGTACATTCTTGATGTAATCTGACGGATTCCCCATATTTCCACGTGGTTTATAACGTGCAACAGAAAACCACTTATCAGCACTGGTAGCTGTTGCCATCCCCAACTCTGTGGTCTCCTTCCAGACAACTTGGGTAAAGTGCAAAATCACGCCTCCTTTGCTCTCTCCCGTGTTGTAATCAAAATTCGATTCTTCTGCGTACCAGTCAGCGACCATTTCACGGCACTGTACACAGTCTTTTGTCTTTGGTCCTTGGCACTGAGTCGGCATAGCCGATGGGTCACCCGGCTGAAAATAAGCCAGATTTTCGCCTTGACCTTTGTTGTTAATACTGTCATAGTCATGTTCCATGTAATCTGCAGATAGTTTCAAAGGCCGATCAATAACAATGCGACAATAAGTAAAATATAGAGAGCTCATTTTTCTAAGTGAACACTTCTTAACCGTAGTGAAATTAGAGGCTTTAAAAAATTCATGCCAGCTCTCAGTTGGCTGTTAGCTTAGTTGGTAGAGCACTGCACCGGTATCGCAAGGGACATGGGTTAAGCCCTGTACAGAAGGAAATCTTTTTTCAGGCTTTAGTTTCACTGCTGTATAAGCAGTGCTCGTTACTGCCAAGATCACTCTTATTCATTTATCAATATACAGTTTAAATTGTATATTTACAATCATATAAGGTTTTCATACTGATAAAAATGATAAAGATCACAATAATAACAATGGTAAAAAAGAAGATGATAATAGTAATAATAAATGGAAGAATAATGATTGAAGAGGCAAGAGCCAGCCTCAAAACATGTTTACTCAGGATCCTTTTCATTAACTCTTTTAATACGCACGTGAAGAGAAACACAATTCCTAAGAAACAGAAAAACGACTTTACAAAAATAGACTAATTTATAGGACGGAAAAATAAATACGAAGATACCAAGGGACCAAAATTTACCAAATGTCGAAGAATTATACGAAACACTCATGGGAAAAAAAAGGTTAACATCGAAAGCAAAATTATACACACTGCCCAAAGGGGCGTGAAACTTGATAAATAAAAAAAGCGGCGTAATTAAAATAAAGTGTGAAACTAATGGTGCAGAAATGATACGTTGAAAAACGAAAAGAATGATGCATAATATATATATATATATTTATGTTATTTGCCGGCTGGGAGGTCCTTATGGTGAAAAATTGAGACCGAGGTCTTGAAAATACTGCCCGAGGCCGTAGGCCGAGGGCAGCGTTTTCAAGACTGAGGTCACAGTTTTTCACCATACGGACCAACCCTTAGCCGGTAAATAACATATTTATTGTTTTTAAACTTGAAGAAATTCTTTCCGAAAGAACTCGAATGATTTAGGGCTGTAAATACGGCAAGATCTTCCATAAACTGAACAATTTTTGAGCGAGTAAATGGTAGTTAGAATAGAGGTGATGCAAATTAAAGAGAGATGCCTCAGCGAAACATTTTCATTTCCGTAACGATGAAGGTGATTTAAAAGGCTTCCAAACAAACTTTGAAACATTATTTTTACAAGTATCTGTCACAATCTGACACCTGTCAATTAGAGAGCGCGTAAGAAAAAAAAGAGCAAGAAGATTTGAAAAAAAACGGAACTAGTTTGGCAAGGACTGTCACGACAATGTTTTCTTTAAAAACAGTCAATGATCTAACGGAAAGTATTATTCACTCTGATTGACGATTCATTCATGTCCGAAGATTTACCTCTGTTCATTAAGGAAACGGCGAGGAAAGTAGTTGTGAGTAAATTCAATTTTTATATTTTGAAGTTGTGAGAGTTTGCTCGTTTGTTTGCTGCAATGGCGTGTGTAAATCTGGTCTTTCCTTCACAAAAACTAAATTCGAACGGCACACTCCAACGAGACACAAGGGAATTTAATGCGGCCTTTTCTCAAAAAATTCCTTCAGTTTCTCTTGTGCAATTTACGGTACAAATGTCCAAATTGAACGGAATTGGAAAGACTCACCGGGAGCGTATATTTGTCGTACAACTTAAATTAAAACTTCGCACACTCTTTCACTACGAAAAAATTGCTCGAGAAAATTCAGATATTAAACGAAGGAAAGTTCCATCGTTCAGTTTAACTGTAACCAAATACCTCACGTTTTAACTTTCTGGGTACTTTTTGTGAACGATTAAAATTAATTGCAGACGGTTTTTAGGCCGCTTGTCAACCAACGTAATGACACCGTTGTTTATACAAATTCATTCTGAAACCAATATTTTTCTGTCAACCAAAGTGATTTGAGAGAGAGAAAAGAGAGGATTCATAAGTTATTTATCGGCTTGAGGTAGTGACCGACATGTTTGTTTAAAAATACTGCCCAGCCGGAAAACGAGATATATTTATGAAAAATGACAACGAAAGTTGGGATGTACTCGGCGACTCACGAAAGCGTTACCGTGGCCCGTGGGCAGAGATAGGAAAATACTGACCGGGTAAAGAACCAATCAGATTGCAGGATTTGTTACCGTGCCCTCTGAAAAAACAATAAATATATATATATATATATATATATATATATATATAATAAAGCATAAAATAACTGTAAACTAACGGGGAAGAAAACACAAGACGTATTTGTAAGAAATCAAGAAAATAACACATTCGCCACAACAATTCAAATAACGATAATTATAATATTGACAATAATTATAGTGACAATTATGAAGATAATTATGATGATAATAATGTTATGATGGAGAAAACAATAGCTTTAGTAATAAAGATCATCTTTCTTGCGCAGCTAAAAGTAAAATTGAGTGATCCCTACTTTTAACAGCGAGTTCTTTGGCCCACTCCAGTGCATCTGCAGCCAACTCAGCGCTCCATTTCAGTGGAGGAACACCATGTTTTGCTCGATATTCATTGTGAGCTTTTAAACAGTCTTTTTCAAATCCAGTCATTTCTGATAAAAAAGCGAAAAAAAAAATAGAAACAAAGGAACAAAGCAATTATTACATGTAAAGCTTTATTGTAATAGGTAGGTCTGGATTCTCCTTCACACGTCCTTTTGCTCATCATGTCTGCCCCGTGGTCTTCTAATCGATAAGAAGCTCAATGAGGAGCATGATTATTGAAGAGGGTTGACATGATGAGTTATTCACTGAGCCAGTCAGACTGTTACTAAATTTTTCCCCTGGGCGGTTGGACTATTAGATGGGCAGTCAGTAGGGCGGTCACTCAGTCAGTTAGTCTTTGCGAGGACAGTCTTTGAAACTTTTCGACTGTTTTTCTGTTCGCTAGTCATTTATGTAGTCATTCAGTAGGCAAGTTATTTATTCATGTAG